ATCTCTTGGATGATCTCTTTCAACTAATAAATCTCTCGTTTTTTTTTTTTTTTTTTTTTTTTTATCAATATCTTTCTAATTTTCTGGATGATTAATGTTCAAAGGAAGATTATCATTCTCATTCATATATTCTTCATTTGCCAAGTCTTAAAGTTCATTCACATGTTCTTCATTTTGATTCTCTTTCCTATCTTCATTCATTAAATCTCCATGTTCATTAAGATTTTCTTCATTCCTATGTTCTTCCTTCACCAAATCTTCAATACTTCAACTAAACTCTCAGTTTGTGCATTGTTCCTAAAAAACTTATGAATAGCGTCATTTTGAGATTCAATCAATTCTTTTTTTTATTTTTATTTTTTCTTACCCAGATTTAAATTTTCTTATAGATATAATTGTCAAAAATCTTCACAATCAATATAAAACTGAACTTTTTTTAAAAAATACTTTGCTGAAAGAAAATATCAATGGTAAGTCCTCAACTAACAAATTCATTTGTCAAACAATAATTCCATTACTTCCATAAGAACAATTGATATAAATTTAAGTTCATCAAAATAATTTTTTGGTTTAAGATTTAATTTAAGTTCATCAAAATAACTACTTGAAGACTTGAATTAGAGTTAGAACTTAGATGTAGAAAAGAAAACTTACAGTGTTGTTGCCATTAATTGACTGTGTTGATAGGGATCGATGATGTAGATGCAGAGTTATGAACCCGGAAAAAAAAAAAAGAACAGAGAGAGACTGAGAGAGAGCTCACACTTAAGAGAGACTGAAAAAGCTTCTGTCTTCTGATTGTTGCCGTTGGTTGCAGAGCAGAGAAAGAGAGAGTAAGCTTGACACTTGAGAGGCGAGGTTAATTAATAATTGTCCTAAATTTGCCCTAAATTTGATTGTTGCTGCATTTGCCCTATTTTTTTTTTATTTTTCAATGGCCCATCATTCTTGCTGCATTTGGAGGTTGGCATATCATTCTTGCTCCATTTTGATGGCCCTAAATTTGGAGGCGAGTTTCAATTGATACGGTTTGGTTATAGTTTTTTTTATTTTTTATTTATTTTAGTGGCCCATCATTATTGAGGTCCCTTATTTGTTGCATTTTGGTTATAATTTTTTTTTTTGGTTGCCCAAATTCATGGGCCTATAAAATTTAAGGCCCTTAAATGATTTGATGCATTTAGTTACAATTTTTTTTTTAGCGCATCATACATGGGCCTATAAAATTTGAGGCCCCCAAAATTCTGAGGCCCTAGGCGACCGCCTTGGGCCAGGGCCGGCCCTGGGCAACACAAGTCTATATATGTAATTTTTTTTGTCAACTTAACTATGAAAATCTTCCCAGCAATTGTAATTGGAATATTCAATAATACTCTATATGCAATCCAAACATTTAGAAAATAATAAACTAGTATTTTTATAAAATCTAATATTTCAATTGCCTTTTGTGTTTCTTTTGGTAAAGCTTATCCCATCAATAATTGTGTCCCATCAATATGAGAAATCATGTCATGTTTTAAGAGATCTTCAAGTTTATTTCGAAGAATCTGACAATTAATTGTACTCATAAATTAGAATTTTAGTTATTTGGACTGAGCTTAATAAAGCCTGCCATGCATGCACAATTGCACATAAACACAAAAGTAATGTAATAATAAAATAAATTAGTATTTGAGTTTAAATTTAAAAAAATTGAGGGTCTAAACAAAATATTTTAAGTGTACAAATTATTGTATTACATATATAACTTGATATTACATTTAAGTGTGTTTATTGATTTTTTTAAAAAACAAAATATGTAATCTCTATAAGAAGGGAAAATATATATATATATATATATATATATATATATATATATATATATATATATATATATATATATATATATATTAACGGAACAGAAGTACAAGGATTATGAATTATATATATTTTTACAATTTTCTTGCAGCTTTTACACTAGTTTGGTCCAAGATTCTACAAAATAAATAAATAGTATCCAAATTTAGAAAAAAATATATATATGTGGAAAACAAATCATGTACACTAAAACATAGAATCATAAAATCATATTTTATTAATACACCAACTTAACCAAGGGCGGATCCAGAATTGCTGATTGGGGTGGGCTAATTTTGGATGGGCTAAATTCTTTTTTTTTTTTTGGGCTGGGCTGAAAGTAGTATAGTAAAAAAAAGAAAAAAAAAATTTTGGGGTGGGCTGAAGCCCACCTTCGCCCACCACTCCCTCCGCCCTTGAACTTAACTCACCCTTATTCACCACCACCACCACGACGGATTATGCTTTGATTATATGGGCTCATTCCACTATTGTTCTTTACAACAACTCAACCCTTGTTCTTCTAGTTGACAACTTAATTCTAACACTTTTACAAGTATTCGTCTATATTGAACTTCAAATGTTTGATTTTTTTAGAATTTTTTTCTTATTTATTTATATTGTAGAAAAGGAATGAGAACATTGGTGAATCCAAAGTTCGCAAAAAGATGAGAAATGCGAGATTTTTTAAAGAAAATTTGATGTTAATGCTAATGCTAATAATATACCCAGTCTTTGATGCTTCTATTAGTGTCAAAAACTGGAAGCATTTAGAGAGAAAGCAAAAGAGGAGAAGAATATATAGAGGAGAAGACATTTAGTAAAGGACGGTTATTTTGGTTATTATTTTTGTCCTTTTATTTTCTTTCAAATAATATATACGAGTGTGTTTGACAATCCTCAACAGTAGAGAAGACAATTCACGGCAACAAATTAATATAAAAATTATTTTCTTTTAAAGAATATATATAAATGTGTTAGACAATCCTCAACAGAGGTGACAATTTACTGTAACAAATCAATATAAAAATTATTTTATTTCAAAAGGTGACTTCAATTATTTAAAATATTTATTTCAATGATTATCACATTAATAAATAATAATAATAATAAAGACGTAAAAAAAAAAATGAAGACTTCTATTGGTATTACGGTATTTTTAAAGAATTAAAAACATTTAAATTTTTTTATAGGTAAAAAATCAAAATTATCAACATAGCAACAAACATATCGTACGCGAACCACTTTAGATTTAGGGTAAAGTACAGAGACACCCTCTGAGGTTTGGGGTAAGGACACCCATGAGAAAGTTTGTTTATTTTTGGACAACGACACCCCTTTGTAAAATTTATCATCCAAACAGAGCCTTAAATCATATGAAAAGTCCACTTTACCCTTCGCTATTTTATTAATTTTAATTATAAAATATCAAAAACTTAAATGACCAAATTACCCTTTTCATCTCTCTCTCTCTCTCTCTATACACACAAAAACAACCAGTGACCACCACCCCCAAGTGAAGACGCCGAAGAGGAGCTCTGCCATCGCTACTTCCTCGACCTCACCGGAGCTCGGCCTCTAATTCCACTTAGGCTATTCCTGGACTCCATCATTCGGGTTCAGGCCTCTGTTTTGGAGCACTTTGGGACCTCAATTTGGCCTTGAATGATTGTGTACTGGCCATGTAATTTAGATAATTTATGTACTGCCGGAAATAAGTATCAACACAGACGCTCTTCGCCGACGTCACCGGGGCATTAGACCCGCCAGAATTTACAAACCGAGGGGTGCTTTCGGCTGTGGAGAACCGGCATTCGTCTCCGGTTAGTCCCCAATCGATGTCTTGGGAGTTCCGGTGACCGAGGATTGATAAACGGGTCAAAATTCGACATGGGAAGGGTGAGGAGAGTGTTTGGCCAAATGGGTCGTCGCCGGAATCTGAAACCCAGGTTTTGGTTCTCCGGGATCTTGATTTGGCCTTGCCAGTGTCCACTTCCACAACCTTTGGATTGACCTCAGTGGTGTTTATGTCCAAAGATGTTGAACTGTATAATATAACACAGAGGCGGGTTTGGGTTCCGTTTACAATATGCTTTTTCACTACAACGTTTTGCCGTTACTACTGCGCCGGCAATGTTTCCGACCACCACGAGCCATCCGGATATTCTGATGACCCGAATAATTGATCCGAATGAACGAACAACCCGTCTAACGCAACGTACTCGCCGTTATTAATATAACTATCGCCACCAACGATTCCCAACCCGAACGAGTCGTAACTTGAGATCTCGTCATCAAACTCCCATAACTCACTGAGTCCGGTCGAGTCCGACGGAACTCGGACCAACTCGGTCTCTTCGTTGTTCTCCGCTTCGCTTGACGACGCAGTCGACGGAGGGAGGCTGAGCTCGTCGTCGGAGGCTTCCAAGAGGTAGCCGAGCTCCGGTTAGGAATCTCCGGCGTTTGACGTCAGATCTACAACGTTCGCCGGTGGAGCTGGGGACACGGAGATCTCTTCTTCGAAGCTCTTCATAAATGAGTCGAGGTCAGGACAACTGGTTCCGAGATCCGAGTCGTCGAGATTTAGGAGGTCATCCCTGAGTCTCTTCACCTCGGCTGAGTTCAGCTCTGACTCATCCCATTCATCTATGACTCGCTTCTCTCTACACCCACCATCGCAGCCACAACCACCATCCATCTCCTCTCCCTTCTTCCTCTCTCTGTTCTCTCTCCTCCGGTGAACTATATAATATACACACAGGCGGGTTTGGGTTCGGGTTTAAGATGGGTTTGGATTTAATCCAAGGGTATTTAAGTCAATTAAAATGTTAATTTTATTTCAAAGGATAATAAGGTCAATTCACCATCTTCAGGGTCTCTTTGTCCATTTTTCAAACTTAAAGGGGTGTCATTGTCCAAAAATAGACAAACTTTCCTCTGAATGTCTTTACCCCAAATCTCAGGGGTGTCTCTGTACTTTACCCTTAAATTTATGTCCCCAGAGTCGGGTTTTGCTGCCCTGCTACAGCAATTTACACGGTCTGAGTGGAAAGGCCTAACCTGAGTCGCCGGACCTTCCAAATCTTCGAGAATTAGTCGGTTATTAGATCCCGAATAAAAATTAAAATAAAAAAATATATCGTACGCTTGTTATTCTGCGTATTTCCTCCGAGAAATTGATTTTTTGTAAGTTCCATTTCACACCCTCAACATCCTGCGTTCCGTTAGGGTTTAAGGCGCCCCTGAACCCTCATTTCTCTCGACTCTCTCTCTCTCTCTATGGCTTTGGACAACGACATAGAGAGAATTCTGTGGAACGAGGAAGAAATCTCTCAGCGAGTTTCTGAATTGGCCTCTCAGATTACCCAAGACTTCAGTGACACAGTCTCTTCTTCGGCTCCGGTCGTCGTCGGAGTCGCCACCGGTGCATTTATATTCCTGGCGGACCTCGTCAGGAAGATCAAGTTGCCAATTACTGTTGATTTCGTTCGAGCCGAATCGTACGGCTTTGGAACAGAATCCAATGGGGCTCCCAGGATTTCATGTGATTTGAAGATTGACATTCAGGGCAAGCATGTGATTTTGGTATGGATTTGATTTTTTATGTTAGTCTATTTCATGTTGATTACTGAAAATTGTCTGTGTGTTTTTTGTTGAGAAAAGGTTCAATATTTGTTGTTTGATTCGTTATTGGAGAGATATTATGTTGAATTCGATTAATAAGCCATGAAAATATGGCATATTTCATGTGGATTATGTGCGTGCGTGCTTGGACATACAAATTTTAATATGCTGTATGGGTGTAGTGGATGTGGAGTAGAAATGGGATAAAGTAGTTCCACGTTTAGAAAGAAAAGGAATATAGGTGTGAATGTTACATGCAGATATTATAGGCTATATGGGTAATGGGTGTAGTGAATGTGGAGCAGAAATGAGCTAAACTAGCTCCACGAGAACGTTATAGAAACGGATTTTATTAGTGAAATGATCTGGTAATCAACTCAATGACACATCTTCCTTATGAATTTAACCCGACCTCATGTAACCTGGTTTTAAGGCCAACTTCTTGCAACCTTCTTGCTTATCATTTTTACACAATTGAGTTCGATTAAAGGCTGTGTTCTTTTTAGGCATTGTACTAAACTTCTTCCCCTCTGTGGAAGGTATGGCCAAGAAATAGTTGGTTATATGTCCTCCGCAACCCCACACTACCTCCTCCCCCTTGGGTTTTTTGTTGCATTAATATCGATGGAAAATTCTTGTATATAATTAGCAAGACCCCAAATGTATGCTGTTTTTGTAGTGATCCAATATATGTGGAGCTACCAACAAACGGTTGGGAAATGATGATCTCATTCAGGATTGAAAAAGAAGAAAACCCCAGAGTCACTGCATTCATATGTAGGAAAACTATCCATTCACAAATGTAGGGGCGGCAGTGGCTGGCACTAATAAATTATTTTCCTTACTCATTACTGGTATCACACAGTAGTGTTATAGATTTTTAAGCAGGTTGAGATTCTTCTTTTGATTTGTACTTTAATTCCAAATCACTTATGCTTGTTTTTTTTTCACCTTGTATCAGGTTGAGGACATTGTAGATACTGGAAACACTTTATCTTGTCTAATTGCTCACTTGAAATCTATGCTTGTTTTTTTTATTTTTTACCTTGTATCAGGTTGAGGACATTGTAGATACTGGAAACACTTTATCTTGTCTAATTGCTCACTTGAAATCTAAAGGAGCATCATCCATATCTGTATGCACTCTCCTTGATAAACCATCAAGACGCAAGGTTAACTTTGAACTTGTCGGTAAAGGGAAGTTCTATTGTGGCTTTGAGGTGATCTCTCTCTCTCTCTGAATCTTCTTCTATGTGGCATTGGTTGATTGACAGCGCTATCTTTAAAAGGTCAATTGTGTTCTTGTTTTTCATATATTAGATTGTATTGATACATTAAAAGAAGACTTAATATTACTGAAATCATTCGTTGTAACTTGTTGAGGGCTACAAAGCATATCCTGTTATTTAGCCATTGCTTTTTCCACTGTATTGCTGGGTGGATAAGTTCTCTAATCTGCCAAAATAGATTTTTATCACCTACATCTAGTCATTTGAGTCTGATGAGAGGTTAAAATTTGGATATAAAATGGTCAGCGTGTTTTTGATTCATGACAGTTTACCTTTAGCATATTTTCTACTGTATTTTCCTTGCACTCGGAAGTTCTCTCTTTCCCATGAGAACGGTTTATTGTGTTATGTCTTCTACATTTTAGGCCCCCCGCGCCCCGCGGAGAATAACCGATTCCACGGGGCTTTTTGTTTTGGCAGGCTATAGACTGTTGCAGAAATAATAGTTAAGAAATGATCTATAATTGTAATGAATATTTTTTAGTATGTCTTGATTTTGTTATGTTAATATGGGAACGTCAAACCTTTTGCTGGATTGCATAATATTCAATCTCTATTGCCAGGATCTTTCAAAAATCCAAAGTATTAGTGTTAGGATGCCTTTGATGAAGAATGTACCCAAATGCCATTCAATCATTAGTGTCGGGATATTTAAAAATTCCGAAGTACTAGTGTGGCCTGCCTTTGATGAAGAATGCACTCAAATTCCATAATTGGTTAATTTACTTCTTGCCAATTTCTGGATATTAGAATGGAATTAGGACTGGACATTAAGTTCCTAACGAACATGAACATTGACTAACCCTGCATTCTAACTTATCTGCACAGGACTTGAGGATGCGTCAATTGTTATCACTCGAACACTTCTAAGTTCTCATTTTTCTGGTTGCACTTTTTTTTTTTTTTTTTTTGCTTTCTGAAACCTTCCAAGGCTTGAACCGTTTATCGTTGTATCTAATGGTTGAGTCTTGTGACTAGCGGACAACATGAGTAACCTTTTTTTTTATCTTGTCTGTGCAGTGCCCAGATTATTTCGTTGTGGGTTATGGATTTGACTTCGCTGAAGTATACAGAAACTTGCCTTACGTTGGGGTCTTGAAGCCTGAAATGTACGAGTGATTATTTTTTGTCAAAAATTATGTACCAATAACTATTTGGGATTTAGTTTCTCTGGTCTATATGGATGAACTTATTCCATACGTCAGTGGATAATTGTAATTTTACTTGCACTTCTGGAAATTTCTCAATAAGGATAATATATTCGATTTCTCATAGTAATGCATGTACTCTTTATAACCCTAGTGTGTTGTGGAGATCCTTTTTTTCTCTTCTTTTTGCCTCTTTCTCAACAATCATAATGCATTTACGGTGTCATGGTTTAAGTGAGTTTTTTTAAAGTTTAAAATTCTTGTGTATGTGTTAATTAGATTCACAGGGAATTAAAATTGCGCTTCGGCTCGAGCGGCCTGACCCTTAAACTTGGTTGCATATTGTTTTGGAGTCGATACCTGACTTTAGAATTAAAATGGCCCCCTAGTTTTCTTGAGTAGAATCTGTGAACATTATGATCCGCAGGGAACCAATATTGATTTTAACCTTTTCAAAGACAGAAATAGTGTTTCGTTTAATTTGTGTTGTATTTATGTTAAATTTCGGGTGGATTTGAGTGAGTCAAATTAGGAACCTCTTAAACTGAGAAAAAAGGAGAATGATCACTTAATGAAAATGACTTTAGCTGATTATCAGATTGTTTAAAAAGCTCAACTACCCATCCAAGCTTGATAACATTGTGTTATTAAAAATAAAAAATAAAATGTTGAAAAAGGGAAATTAGAAAGGAAGATGACCCTGTGAGCTAATGAAATGTCAATGGCTTCATTAGCAAATTGTTACAAGGTTTCTGATAATCCCTATTAAAAATTTTATCTGCAAAGAAGTCTACTATGGTTCAAAGTTGGTAAAAGTTTCAATAAATAAATACATAAAATTAAAAATAAAAAATATATATCTGCATTAATTTAGTGTCCATGACAAAGTTTCATCTGCCTAAAAAGTCTAATTCTGAATCTGGGAAAGTATTATTAATTGAAGATGTTCAAGTTAGTTAAGTCGTTAGGTGCAAGTACCTCAAAAGTGCACTGTTTGGATTGGGTTCAGGCCCTCCAGAGGTGTACAAGACAAAGTATCATCCAGGGAGTTGAATCTGGTCACAATTTTGTTGTATCATATATGATTAATATGTCTTTTAGTTTTGCACTTCACTTTATATATATATATATATATATATATATATATATATATTACTTTTCTTTTTCTTCCCTGATGATAAATTAGATATAAATTTAGCCAATAATGTTCGAGTTCTATGCTTTTATCATTACATCAAACAATGTTGCTCTTTAAAAATTAAGGATGCAGGTGTGTAAAAAATAACGCGTAACATTTAAATTCAAGTACATTGAATGGAATCAAAATGGAGGAAAATATATACATATATATAAAATAAATAAATAAATAAATAAAAACCTAAGAAATGCTGATTCGTATCCTTTTCAAATTTGTTTGACCAACATTTATTCAAAACAAATCTAGTGTTGTGTGATGGTAGAGTTCAGGGGAAGCAGGGACAATACTGTATCAAAACTTGAGAAGATCATCATTCAATATTTGAAAAGATTTTATACTAGTGTTCAGACACTCATTATCATAATCCAACAACCACTAATAATATCCCATACCTATAATTCCATCATATAAAATGCCTAACACGAGAAAAACTTGGGTGACCCCAGTGCACCATGCACCGCACTCATAGTTCAATTTTTTTGAGTCATGCACCGAGCTCACCCAAGTTTTTCTTGCTTAAAACCCGTGATATAAATGTGTTGAACTCATCCTAGTTTTTCTAGCCTAGAACTCAGTCATATAAATCTGTTGAGCATTTCAAGACTGGAAAACTAATTCATATGCTTGAGCCTACAAAAGTGTATGTTCTGCAATGTCTGTGATCATTTAAACATCACTCAGCTCGCATTCGAGTCTTTAGACAAAAAATGTAATGAGCATTTATCAGTTGCAGCCCATTCTGGTTCAGGATATCCAGAAAATCAAATGCAGAATGCCGGAACATTGCTGAGATCACCGGAAATCAGGGTGGATGTCTTCTTCCACCATTTGATCATTCAATGCTGTCTCCAACACACCATGGTCCCATTCGCCCACATCCCCTGCAACGTCTCTCTTATTTTTGAATTGCAAGTCATCATCGTCTCTCTTATTGTTGGCCGAGATGTCCATGGCACCTTACCTGCAAGGTCACCGTTATTGTCTTTGGCTGTAGTTGGTTGACAAATCCTCGGCTCCTTGTCTGCACAATCACCATCGTTATCTTGTGTTGTGTAAGCACTCCATTTAAAAGCCCCTTTGCTTGTCGTTGGTTTACATCTCCTTGGAGCCTCGTCTACAGAGATGCCTTCCTCCTCTTGCATCTTGTAATCACTCCATTTGGAAGCTCCTTTGATAGTGTGAGGCTGGCAATTTCTCGACGACTCTGCAATATTTGAACTGTGAACAAATATGCTTTGCAATACATGAAGATTTGAGTGCCCAAATTAGAGGTTTTAGGCATAAAATCTAGAAAATAAATGGATTGGTGGGCATGCTTATATTTAGCTTAATGATCTATTTAAATTTTAACTAGTGTAAGTACTAAAGTAATTGGATGGCTGTAAATCACCAAATCATAAAAAAAATTAATCAAGGAGTCTTCGTTTTTTCTGAAAATAATTGGCCATTTTTGGGCAAGTGAACTGAAGCACTAGTGTACTCAATTTCATGTTGTAGGAGCTAATATGGTGAAATGGAAGAGGCGAAGAGCTGCGTTACCTTCCGTACCGATTGCTTCTCGTTGCACACCACACAAACCCACTTGTTGCTGCTCTTCTTCTGTTGCTTCACCTGTAAATCAAAACACCACCAAAATCAAAAATCACATATACATATACATACACACACACACACACACACACAAACTTCCACATAAATCTATACAATTTATGTAATTATGTATGTGTATGTATATGCATCAAAACAACAACAAAATCGACTATCAAATATATACATATATATACACACACAAACATATCTATATATCTATACAATTTATGTATGTATGTGTATATATGTATAGAGAGAGAGAGATTTGCCTGCATTGTAGAACATTGGCAACATTGAAGAGCGATGAAGATTGTGGGCATTGTCGAGCGAAGTTGGTCTGATTTTTTTCTCTTCTCTCTCTTTTCGAGTACTAATGTGATTTGGTACTAATTTTTTGGCGCTAATAAGTGCTTTTAAATTTATCACATCTAAGGGTTGTGTTTGGTACTTTGGTTACACGGGCCGAGTAACCCAAAAATGTGTTTGGTGACGGACTTAAGCTGGCCGTGCCCATTTTGTGCTGGTTCTGTGAGATAATGAATTTCTTTTCTGTTCTAGATTTGATTCCAACTCTTATAATAAATCATTTCATTTAAATAAATATATATATATATATATATATATATATATATATATATATAATATGCAATACAAATGGTCACTTATATTGGCAAATATTTTTCAAGTGGTCACTGTTTACCTTTTATTGAGTTTAAAGTACGTTTGATTCGATGAAAAATTTTCAAAAAATATTTTCATTTTTTAGGTAAAATATTTTTTTAGGGTAGTGTTTGGTTACACAAGCCGAGTAACCCAAAAATGTGTTTGGTGATGGACTTAAGCTGGCTGGGCCAATTTGGTGCTTGTTCTATAAGATAATTAATTTCTTTTCTGTTCTAGATTTGATTCCAGCTCTTATAATAAATCATTTCATTTTTTTTAAAGAGAGTATATAATATGCAATACAAATGGTCACGTATTGGCAAACATTTTTCAAGTGGACACTAATCACTATTTACTTTTTATTGAGTTTAAAGTCTTTGTAAAACAAATCTCTTTCAATGTTAATCAGCAAAATTTAATTTTTCCCAAAGGTCACAACGGAACAATTCTGCACACTAGGGCTACGTTAGTTTCTTTTTTAAAAAATATTTTCCCTTTTTATTTAAAATATTTTTTATTTTTATTTTTATTTTTTTGGTGTTTGACAAAGATCTAGGTCAAGTCCATCAAGTAGGATGCGTAAAATAACTTATGGAAAATTGACAGATAACTTATTTTTTTAAAATTCTAATATATTTTTTATTTATAAATATTTTAAGACAACCCAATACCAAAAAAAAATAAAAAATAAAAAACATCCAAACAAAAAAGATTTTCTATTTCCGAAGAGAACTCTCTCCCTTTTTTTGGGGTACAAGTTGGTTTTTCCTTGAACTTTATCTTAGGCTCATACTGGACCATCATGATTTTTCATGTTGGGCTGGCAAATTTGTTCTAAACCCTATAAATCAAAATTTCTTAGATAATGTCAATACTGCACAACTTTTCCCATTGTTAAGAGTGGATATAAAAAAAAAAATTTGATGTAACGATATATATTACAAATTTATTTGGGTTTCTTGGGACTTTAGTTGTGACATACACGGCTTATATAGACATGGCGATTGTGAGGATAAATAAGTCTCTAGAACTTTTAGATTCAAATCAGAACTTTTATCTTATTATTTAAATATTTATAATCTCTATAGCAATTTGCCCTTCTAATTTTTTTTTCAAATCTACAATTCATAAACTCTCTAAAATCTTTCACCATTTTGTAACCCTCCATAACTCTATCTACAAACGTGGAAGACCCATTCTGTGACACACCACAATTTTATGCACAAATATAAATGTAAATGATTCCGGATTTTGGTTCTTCAAAAACGTCACTTCAGCTTTTTTAAGAGTCACGTCAGCAATTCCAAGAGTCACGTCAACAGCTTTCGTTCTTCAGAAACATGCACTCCATCCGACTCTCTGAATTTTTACTCTTTTTTTTTTTTAATTATTATTTAACTTTCCCTAACGGCTATATTTCGGATTATGGGAATAAGAAAATGAATTTTTATTTTTTAATTTTTATTTTTTTTAAAAAAAGTTTTACAAAATTGAATTTTTTACTTTTTTAAAAAAAAAAATTATAGCCGTTAAGGCACTATTTGTGCCATCCAAACAATGCCTTAACGGCCAAATGTATTGTTTATGGCAGAAATTTAAAATTTAAAGCAAAAAAATAAAAAACAAATTTTAAGAAAAAAAGAGAGAAGGTTTTTAAATATATTTTTGGCTCAAATATATATATTTTTGGACAAACACTGCCTAAATAATATATTTTTTATTTAATGAATTTTATTTTATTTTAAAAAGAGCTCAAAATAACCTATTTTTGAATTTTTCTAAAAAAACCATCCTGCCTTAAGGCACTGTTGCTAACCGGTTTAAAAAAAAATCTTCACGTAAAACGTCGCCGTTTTGCTAAAGGAAAAAACAAAACAAAAAATCCCCGATTGGGCTTGGGCTCGCGGTATTCCGCAAGCCGATGTGGGCCCGCTCATTTCCCCTAGCCCGCTGCACTGCATTTGGGCCTCCAAATCGCCAAACCACTCTCTAATCCAAATCACTTAACCCATTTCACGTCCAAACCACTCTTTAATCAGACTCACACCGATAATCTCGAACCCTACTTCTATCTCTCTCTAAAAAATATCTAGGGTTTCGAACTTTCCATCGAGAACGCTCCTTATCTCTCTATCGATTCTGAAGGACATGAAGGACTTCAATTCGTCTGTGTGCGGAGACGGTGATTCCTGGCCACCGGTGTTCCGATTCCATCCCACCGACGAGGAACTGGTGCTGTACTATCTCAAGAGGAAGATCTGTCGCCTGAGGCTCAAGCTCGACATCATCGCTGAGACCGACGTCTACAAATGTGACCCAGAGGAGTTGCCAGGTATCTATCTGATCTCTATATATATCTCTCTATGGCATGGTTTCTTCACTTTTTATGCGTTGCCTGATTATTTGATCGTGTTTTTCTATTTGGGTGTTCTTTATTTTCTTGACTCATCGGTTAATATAATTCACTGTTGTTGTTGGATTGATATTTCATTCGGGTATGCCTTGTTTTCTTGAATTATTGTTTTTTTCTATTTGGATGGTCAATTGGATATCTCATTTAGGTCTGCGTTATTTTCTTGAAATATCAATTATGATCATCAATACATATGTGTTCAGTAGTGATCTATTTAAAGTCTGATTTTGTGATAATCATTGAAAATCCTTCCCAAATCTGTGTGTTATGCATCATCTGATGCTTGTTACTTGTTAAATCACATCTGAGGAGGCTTCTTAGTCCGATAGAGAATTGGGTTGCAGTTGGTGTTTTCCCATTTAACAAAACGAACCCATTTTGTCTGAAAAATATAACATAATTATATGTATGCAATGCATCCAGTGTCTATATGTTATATGTGTGTGTTTTGTGATCTATTAAAGTCTGATTTTCTGATAATCATTGAAAATCCTTTTGTTTGGGAAGGTGATTCTGTGTGTGTTATGCATCATTACTTGGTAGACCACATCTGAGGAGGCTTCTTAGTCCGATAGGGGTGCAGTTGTTGTTTTCCCATTTAGCAAAACAAACCCATTTTGTCTGAAAAATATAACATAATTATATATATGCAATATGTAATTATATGGCCACAACATATATGTATTCTTACAATTCATTCTATCATGGGTTGATGTGTGGTTTTAGCAATAGCCAAGTCACAATTTTGCTCACAATCCTCTTTTATATTTTCACAAACTTTGCCTCTTCTTATGCTACTCCCATTTTAATGGGAATGCGAGAATCAGAGAAATCTAAAGAGGGTTGGAGGACTGAAATAGTGAAATGAGGAGCGCATGGCAACCTAGTACCTGCATTTCTAGTTTACGATCATAATTGCATTTGATTTCAGCTTAAGACGTAACCTACTGACCTGTAGATTTTGACCCTGGGTTTGGGCTATTATTTTTCACCTGATTGCGTATGGATAGTGTGTTGTTCAGTGTATATATATAACTATGAAAAGTAGGGAAGTCGGTTATTCTTCATTAAGCCACCGGGATATAATTTGTTATAGGATGCTACATCTGTTGATAATCAGCAGTACTTCACAATTTGTTGGTCTAAAATGGATATGATCATTCTGTACTTTCTGCTTTGTATAAACTGTTTGCAAAAGGCTAAAGTGCCAAAAATTAAGTTCTTAACTGCCTCCTTTTATTCACACTGCTGCTTTCCGATTGATGGTAACGGCGTCACATTTGTTGTAAGTTGTATATCGTCGTTAAAGACACTCGAATATCGATTATGATCATCAATATATCCAGTTTCTATATGTGTGTGCCTGTTCTTTTTTCAGAGTTTGTTTAGATTGAAGTCAAGGGTTGTTCTTTATGCAAGCATTTGTCTTTGGTATGTTGAACTTTGGGTTTAATTCAGTGTTAAACCACTCTTTCATCAAATTTTCCCATTATTGTTCTAATTCAGCTTCATATTTAAGATTCAGTGTGTAAATACTTGTTTTTGTAATTATATTTTGTTCTTCTCTAATACCTTTTAAAATTTTGGATGACTTCACAGTTTGTGCATAATATAACTTAGACTATGCACCTGTTCTAATTGCTACTTGTTAGTGGTACTGTTTATTTCAGTTTGTCGAATTTGAGAATGAACTGAATTTTGCAAAATTTTGGAATGCAGAACAATCCAAATTAAAGACTGGGGACAGACAATGGTTTTTTTTCAGCCCTAGAGATAGAAAATACCCTAACGGAGCAAGATCAAATAGGGCAACCAGACATGGGTACTGGAAAACAACTGGAAAGGACCGTGCCGTTAGATGCAATTCTCGTTCCGTTGGGGTGAAGAAGACTCTGGTTTTCTACAAAGGTCGTGCACCTAGTGGTGAACGCACAGATTGGGTAATGCATGAATATACCATGGACGAAGAGGAGCTCAAGAAATGCCAATCTGCACAGGATTATTTTGCATTGTATAAAGTCTTCAAGAAGAGTGGACCTGGTCCAAAAAACGGCGAAGAGTACGGTGCTCCCTTTAAGGAAGAGGATTGGGCTGATGATGAATGCTCAAATGGTGATCACAATCTCCAGGAAAATTCTGTGATGCAGGTCAATGATGTTGCTTCCACCTCTATGGCACCAGTCCGAGAGGATGAAACTGGTAACATCAGTGCTAATGGTCAAGTGAAGTCTGCTTTAAGGGATCTCGAGTTGTTCGTTAACCGAATTACGGATGAACCTTCTTTTGCCCAACTACTCGCTGTGGTGGATCCATTGGTGGATCCATCCTTTAGGGAAGCCAATAGTCTTGGACAGAGCATAGTGACCCACCCAAACAGCCAGCAGTATGATTTGCAGTCAAGCTTTGACTTGACTCGGTCTGCCATACCTAATTTACAAATGCATGAGGCACTTGAGGTCACATCTGCTGTGAATGTTTGTGAACAGGGACCTCATGCAGCTGAGGATGATTTCATTGAAGATTTAATTGAAATGGATGATCTTTTTGAAATGGATGATCTTGTTGGTCCCGTAGCTGCTGTTCAGGACATTGAGAACTTGCAGTTTTCTGAGTTCGATGGATTGGGTGAGGTGGAGAAATTGAGTGAGGTTGATGACCTCTACCTGGACGCGGCCATGTTTCTTCATGACATAAGCCAAGGGCCACAGTCATATTTTAATAATCTAGAGGATGGGATGGTAAATCCCCTGGATTTCCAGTTTGATTCGTGTTCGAATGATGCAAGTCACAGCATAATTACACCAGCAGCATCAAATCACAGTACTGTTCCTGAAGGAGCTTCAGGTGAATATTTCAACAGGTTTTAATTTTGATGGCTGCAATATGCTATTTGTCACTACTGTGGTTGTAGTTTACTAGTCCTTTTTGAAGCTATGATGTTTTTTCTTTTTCTTTTTTTGGAGTTATTGTTTTAAGAATCTGTTATCTGACTGCATAGAGCTCTTGACCAGATGGATGGTTTTTTGGTAGACCATGTCATCATCCAGATGGTGAAAGCCCTTTTGCCCCAGTGGGAGAAGGGAACTTTTGAACCAAGCTTCAAGAGCTCTACTGCTAATAACTCTCAGGTGTAAATTATAGCTAATGTCAGGAAGTTTCTGGTGATGTTTAGGTGTGGTATGTGCTGCTGGTAATTCTGGAAATCTTCCTACCAGTACAAATCAAAATGAAAGTGGCAAAGAGGACAGTGGTACGGTTACGTGGTTCTCTTCTGCTCTATGGTCATTTATGGAGTCGATACCCACCACTCCGGCTTTTGCATCAGAGAGTGCCTTGGTGAACAGGGCTTTTGAGCGAATGTCTAGCTTTGGCAGGGTGAGGATCGACGCAGGGAACACAAATGTTGCTGCAGTTAACTCCACTGCAACTGTAATAAGATCAGGCAAATATAATTGTAATTTTTTGTATTTTTCTGTTCTTAGAGTGGTGTGTGCTATATTGTGGATGATAGGATCTGTAAACTGTCTTTGGAAGATTCATTTCTTATTCAATTCAATTTATTCATTTTATAATTTTTTTGTGTCAGTCGTTGATTATTATTATATTGTCTCAGTCCTTAATGCAAGGTGCCATATTGTTAATTAACTCTTGACATTGTTCATTAATCTAGTTGGTAGAGCAGCTAACTCACTGAGCAAGCATGTTCGTATTCAAAACTCCCTCCCTAATTTGCTAGCCTAATACTCTGTCAATGGTTAATTAACTGTTCTTATAACAGTCATTTATTTGTTTTGTCTAGATTTAGCCAACTTTCTACTTACAAACATATTGCCATTTAGGGCTGTAAGTTAAGCGGGTTGTCCAGCCCAACCGATTTTTTTTTAAATAAATTCAAATATGGAAAAAGAGGGGGAAAAAAACAAAAATTAGGCCTGGATGTTATGAAAAAAAAAAAAAACACACGGGTTGTCCGCTATACCCGGACCAGTGAAAATTCGGATTGGGTGTCACGTTTTGAAGCCCATGCTTGGATTAAATCGGGTTGGCCCAACCCGAAGTTGGGTTGAGGTTGGGTTTAGGTTGGGCTCGGATGGGCAGGCCCAAGTTGCACCCCTAGTTCCATTACAACGAGCCTAATACTTTGTCACTATGAAAAAGAAGAACTTAAAATGCTACATGTTTGTGTTTGGAATGATAATTAGACTGAGTTCTAAACCTTTCTTTATCGCAAATAATAGAGGTGAAATCATAAGCAAGGCCTGTCCATTCCCAAAATTTTGAGCAAATTTTCAAATGTAAGACCCTTTATGCATAAAAAATTTACAAGAGTGCTAAGTTTTCATTAAAATGAGACATTTGAATTTACAAGAGTGCGAAGTTTTTATTAAAATGAGACATTTGAAGGGTCTTACATTTAAAACACAACTTAATCACAAAAATAAAAAAACAACTTAATCACAAAAAGAAAATATTTAAAACACAACTTAAATCACAAAAATAAAAATTAAACTTCATATCAAAGTAAATGTGATCATTTTTTATTTTGGGCTGCAAAATTATCAATTAAAGTGTTCTAATCAACTTTTTTCAGCATATATTTTTCAATACAGATCATAGTCAATCCATTCAATCTCTTTTGACATCGTAGGTAAGATTTGATTAACTTAACTATGATAATTGGGATATTCAATAATACTTTATATGCAACATTTAAAAAACAACAAACTAGTATTTTTATAAAATCTAATACTTCAATTGCCGTAAGGCTTATCTTAAGACTTGTAATTCTGAAAATAATTTTGTCCCATCAATATGAAAAAATCATGTAATGTTTTAAGAGATCTTCAAGTTTATTTCGGAGAATGTGACAATTAATTGCATTCATAAATTAAAATTTTAGTTGTTTGCACTGAGCTTAAAAAAAATATATTTGGAAAACAAATCATGTACGCTAAAGCATAGAATCATAAAATCATAGTATTCTATTAATACACAAACTTAACTCACCCTTTTTCAACAACAACCATATCTTTTTTATTTATTTTTATGATAGTCTTCAAACAAAGAACCGATATTATGCATAAGACCATAGAGGGACCACAAATGCTTCGAACGTTTGAACGGACTTGTAATTTAATTATTCTAATGTTGTGTTTAAGTATTTTTTTATTTTTGTCAAAAGGAGCAAGCATGCTCTATTTTTTCTATACAAACATAAAACCTAAATTTTTGGACATAAATAGAGCAACCAAGGGGCGGATCCAGAAAATTGCAATAGAAAAATCCCACTCTTGCTCTTTACAACAACTTGATGCTTGTTCTTTTAGTTGACAACTTAATTTTAATATTTTTACAAGTATTCGCCTAGATCATACTTCAAATGTTTGATTTATTTTTTTTCTTATTTATTTATGTACTATTATAGAGAAAGAATGAGAAGACTGGTGAATCCAAAGTTCACAAAAAAATGAGCAATGCCATATTTTTTAAAGAAGATTTGATGTTAAAGCTAATGCTAATAATATACATGATGTTTGATGCTTCTAATAGTGCAAAAAACAGGAAACACTTGGACAGAAAGCAAAGTCAAAGAATACAAAGAGGAGAAGACCTTGGAGATAGTAAAAGAGGGTTATTTTTGTCTTTTTATTTATAAATATATACTCTCTTCGTTCTACTTTAAATGTCGCGTTCAGGAACCGTGACATTCCCGAACGCGATATCTAAAGTAGAACGAAGGGAATATGAGTGGAGTCTTTGATAATTTTCAAAAACAATAGATATATCAATTCACTGCAACAAATCAATATAAAAATTATTTTTTTTCAAAATGCAACTTCAATTATTTAAAATATTTATTTCGACTTAAAAAAATGAAGACTTCCACTGCTATTAAGGTATTTTTAAAGAATAAAAAAAATTCAAAATATTTTTGATAGGTAAAAAATCAAAATTATTAACACATAACAAACATATTGTACGCGATCCACTTCGGATAAATGTCCCCAAGGTCGGGTTTCAATGTCCTGCAGTGATTTACTTGGTCCAAAAGAAAAGACCTCCTTCCAAATTTTCGAGAATTAATCGGATTGTTAGGTCCCAATTCATGTCGAATAAAAAAAAAAAGAAAAAAAGAAATCGTACACGTGTATATAGTCTACGTATTTCCTCTGAGAAATTGACTTGTTGCAAGTTCCTTTTCACCCTCTCAGCCTCCCGTGTTAGGGTTTAAGGCGCCCCTGAACCCTCATTTCTATCGACTCTCTCTCTCTCTCTCTCTATGGCTTTGGACAACGACATAGAGAGAATTCTGTGGAACGAGGAAGAAATCTCTCAGCGAGTTTCTGAATTGGCCTCTCAGATTACACAAGACTTCAGTGACACAGTCTCTTCTTCGGCTCCGGTTGTCGTCGGAGTTGCCACCGGTGCATTTCTATTTCTGGCTGACCTCGTCAGGAAGATCAAGTTGCCAATTACTGTTGATTTCGTTCGAGCCGAATCGTACGGCTTTGGAACAGAATCCAATGGCGCTCCCAGGATTTCATGTGATTTGAAGATTGACATTCAGGGCAAGAATGTGATTTTGGTATGGATTTGATTTTTGATGTTAGTCTATTTCATGTTGATTACTGATAATTGTGTGTGTGTGTTTTGTTGACAAAAGGTTCAATATTTGTTGTTTGATTCGTTATTGGAGAGATATTACGTTGAATTCGATTAATAAGCCTTGAAAAATATGCATATTTCATGTGGTTTGTGTGTGTGCGTGTACCAAATATTAATATGCTATATGGGTATAGTGAATGTGGAGTAGAAATGGGATAAAGTAGTTCCACTTCTAGAAAGAAAAGGAATACAGGTGTGAATGTTACATGCAGATACTGGTAGGCTATATGGGTAATGGGTGTAGTGAATGTGGAGCAGAAATGAGCTAAACTAGCTCCACGAGAACGTTATAGAAACTGATTTTTACTAGTGAAATGATCTGGTAATCAACTCAATGACTCATCTTCCTTACGAATTCAACCCGACCTCATGTAAACCGTTTTAAGGCCATCTTCTTGCAATCTTCTTGCCTATCCATTGTACTAAACTTCTTCCCCTTGGTGGAAGTTATGGCCAAGAAATAGTTGGTTATATGTCCTCCGCAACCCCACACTACCTCCTCCCCCTTGGGTTTTTTGTTGCATTAATATCGATGGAAAATTCTTGTATATAATTTGCAAGACCCCAAATGCATGTACGCCGTTTTTGTAGTGATTCAATATATGTGGAACTACCAACAAACGGTTGGGAAATGATGATCTCATTCAGGATTGCAAAAGAAGAAAACCCCCAGAGTCACTGCATTCATATGTAGGAAAACTATCCATTCGCAATTTAGAGGCAGTAGCGGCTGGCACTTATAAATTATTTTTCCTTACTCATTACTGGTATCACACAGTTGTGTCATAAATTTTTAAGCAGGTTGAGATTCTTATTTTGATATGTACTATAATTCCAAGTCAGTGAAGTCACTAATGCTTGTCTTTTTTTTCTTTTTTTTTTTTTTACTTTGTATCAGGTTGAGGACATTGTAGATACGGGAAACACTTTATCTTGTCTCATTGCTCACTTGAAATCTAAAGGAGCATCATCCATATCTGTATGCACTCTCCTTGATAAACCATCAAGACGAAAGGTTAACTTTGAGCTTGTTGGTAAAGGGAAGTTCTATTGTGGCTTTGAGGTGATCTCTCTCTCTGAATCTTCTTCTATGCGGCATTGGTTGATTAATAGCTATCTTTAAAAGGTCAATTGTGTTTTTGTTTTTCATATATTAGATCGTATTGATACATTAAAAGAAGACTTAATATTACTGAAATTATTTGTTGTAACTTGTTGAGGACTAAAAAGCATATCCCGTCATTTAGCCATTGCCTTTTCCACTGTATTGCAGGGTGGATAGGTTGTCTAATCTGCCAAAATAGATTTTTGTCACCTATGTCTGGTCATTTGAGCCTGTTGAGAGCTTAAATTTTGGATATAAATGGTCAGCATGTTTTTGATTTATGACAGTTTACCTTTAGCATATTTTCTACTGTATTTTCCTTGTACATGGAAGTTATCTTTTTCCCATGAGAACGGTTTATCTAGCCGGCGCAACCACCCCCCCACCCCCCCGGCGAGGGGGCGGAGATTAACTGATTCCACAGGGCCTTTTGTTTTGGCAGGCTATAGACTGTTGCCGAAATAATAGTTAAGAAATGATCTGTAATTGCAATGAATATTTTTTAGTATGTCTCGATTTCGTTTTGTTAAATGGGTACGTCAAACCTTTTGATGGATTGCATAGTATTCAATCTCTATTGCCAGGATCTTTCAAAAATCCAAAGTACTAGTGTTAGGATGCCTTTAATGAAGAATGTACCCAAATGCCTTCATTAATATTCAATCATTTTTGTCGGGATATATAAAAAATCCGAAGTACTAGTGTCGTCTTGCCTTGGATGAAGAATGCACTCAAATACCATCCTTTGTTAATTTACTCCTAGCCAATTTCCGGATAGAATGAAATGGGGACTGGACATTAAGTTCCTAATGGACATGAACAATGACAACGTCTGCATTCTAACTTATCTACACATGACATGAGGATACGGCAATTGTTACCACTTGAAACATTTCCAAGTTCTCATTTTTCTGTTTGCACTTTTGTTTTTTTTTTTTTTTGCTTTCTGAAACCTTCCAAGGTTTGTACCGTTTATCATTGTATCTAATGGTTGCGAGTCTTGTCTGTGCAGTGCCCAGATTATTTCGTTGTTGGTTATGGACTGGACTTTGCTGAAGTATACAGAAACTTGCCTTACGTTGGGGTCTTGAAGCCTGAAATGTACGAGTGATTCTTTTTGTCAAAAAGTATATGCCAAAAACTATTTGGAATTTAGTTACTCTGGTCTATATGGATGAACCTAGGATAATTGTAACTTTACTTGCAATTCTGGAAAATTTGTCACTGTTTCTCAATAAGGAAAATATAATTCAATTTCTCATAGTAATGCATGTACTCTTTGTAACCCTAGTGTGTTGTGGAGATCCTTTTCTTCTCTTCTTTTTGCCACTTCTTTCTCATCATTAATTATAATGCATTTACGGTGTCATGGTATTCTGAGGTTTTTAAAAGTATAAAATTCTTGTGCATGTGTTAATTAGATTCATAGGGAATTAAAATTGCGACTTTGGCTCATAATTCGACACACTCAAGCGGCCTGTGCATAGTGTTTTGGAGTCGATACCTGATTTTAGAATTGAACTGGCCCACTAGTTTTGTTGAGTAGAACCTGTGAACATTATGATCCGCAGGGAACCAATATTGATTTTAACCTTTTCATAGACAGTAGTGGTGTTTGGTTTAATCTGTGTTGTATTTATTTTACTCTGTTGTTCTCATCACCTTGTAATCATCACTGACAGAATCATACCCAAACCCGTATTTGATATCGTAACTCCAGCAACTTTTTTGGGGGAACTCAATCGGTGTGTTCGGTATAACTTCTGGTGTTTTCGGGTCAAAAGGCAACGAGGTCCTCTGTTTCAGAGGACAAACCTAGACAGAGCAAGCCATGGCAAGACCCGATCACTTCAGTTCTATTGCCCTTACTCTTTATGGGGTCGTCAAACTCTACCACATGATTTGGAGAATCAACTTCTATGTGGAAGCATCAAGACAGTTATGGAGTCTTAAGCGGAGAAAAGAGAGAAATGAACTCCAAACATTAGCAAGCTGAATTCTATGTGGAACCAGTGTAGACTTCTTAGCAGATTAAATTTTTAATAGGGATTGTCAGAAACCTTGTAACAATTTGCTAATGAAGCCATTGACATTTCATTAGCTCACAGGGTCATCTTCCTTTCTAATTTCCTAATGTTTGCTAATGTTTGGAGAAATTGGGATATATTAGAAAGATCATCCATTCAATCTCCTATGACAGGGATATATTATAGAGAAATTCTTTTTAAATTGAGGATTTCGGTGCAAATCATGGGCAACACAAGTCTATATATGTAATTTTTTTTGTTAACGTAACTATGAAAATCTTCTCAACAATCGTAATTGGGATATTAAAAAATACTCTATATGCAAGCCAAACATTTAGAAAACAATAAACTAGTATTTTTATAAAATCTAATACTTCTATCGCCTTTTGTGTTTCTTTTGGTAAAGCTTATTTGAAAACTTGTTGCAACTCTAAAAATAATTATGTCCCATCAATATGAAAATTCATGGTTTATTTTTGTTCAGACTAAGCTTAATGGAACATTGCCATGCATGCACATAAACAAAAAAATAATATAACAACAAAATACATTAGTATTTGAGTTTAAATTTAAAAAATTGAGGGTCGAAAACAAGTTATTGTTAGTGTACAAATTATTGTATTATATATATACGCAGCTAGGGTTTCTGACCCTATCGATCGAATTCACTATTACAATTCTGATCTCTCTCGGTTCTTATTGTTGATTTATATACATAAGTCCGGCACCATTAAAAAAACCCAAAAATTAGGGCTTTGATCTAGAGCAAGATAAATCTCTAAACCCTATAAATCAAATTTTCTTAGATAATGTCAATACTGCACAACTTTTCTCATTGTTAAGAGTGGATATAAAAACAAAATTTTGATGTAACGATATATATTACAAATTTATTTGGGTTTCTTGGGACTTTAGTTGTGACATCCACTGCTTATATAGACATGGCGATGGTGAGGATAAATTCAAGTCTCTAGAACTTTTAGATTCAAATCAAAACTTTTATCTTATTATTTAAATATTTATAATCTCTATAACAATTTTCCCTTCTAAATTTTTTTTCAAATCTACAATTCATAGACTCTCTAAAATCTTCCACCACTTTGTAACCCTCCATAATTCTATCTACAAACCTGGAAGACCCACTCTGCGACACATCACAATTTTATGCATAAATATAAATGTAAATGATTACGGGTTCTTCAAAAACGTCACTTCAGCTTTTTTAAGAGCCACGGCAACAGCTTTCGCTTTTTAGAAACATGCACTCCATCCGGCTCTTTGAATTTTTGCTCTTTTTTTTTTATTTATTTTTTATTTAACTTTCCCTAACGGCTATATTTTGGATTATGGGAATAAGAAAATGAATTTTTAATTTTTAAAATTTTTTTTGAAAAAAAGTTTTACAAAATTGAATTTTTTACTTTTTTTAAAAAAAAATTATAGCCGTTAAAGCACTATTTGTGCCATCCAAACAATGCCTTAACGGCCATATGTATTGTTTATGGTAGAAATTTAAAATTTAAAGCAAAATAATAAATAAATAAATAAACAAATTTTAAGGAAAGAGAGAAGGTTTTTAAATATATTTTTGGTCAAACAGTGCCTAAATAATATATTTTTTATTTAATAAATTTTATTTAATTTTAAAAAGAGCTTAAAATAACCTATTTTTGGGTTTTTCTTAAAAAAACCGTCCTGCACTCCTAACCGGTAAAAAAAAAATCTTCACCCAAAACGTCGCCGTTTTGCTAAAGTAAAAAACAAAACAAAAAATCCCCGATTGGGCTTGGGCTCGCTGTATTCCACAAGCCGATGTGGGCCAGCTCATTTCCTCCAGCCCGCTGCACTGCATTTGGGCCTCCAAATCGTCAAACCACTCTCTAATCCAAATCACTTAACCCATTTCACGTCCAAACCACTCTTTAATCAGCCTCTCACCGATAATCTCGAACCCTACTAAAAAATTCTAGGGTTTCGAACTTTCCATCGAGAACGCTCCTTATCTCTCTATCGATTCTGAAGGACATGAAGGACTTCAATTCGTCTGTGTGCGGAGACGGTGATTCCTGGCCACCGGGGTTCCGATTCCATCCCACCGACGAGGAACTGGTGCTGTACTATCTCAAGAGGAAGATCTGTCGCCTGCGGCTCAAGCTCGACATTATCGCTGAGACCGATGTCTACAAATGTGACCCAGAGGAGTTGCCAGGTATCTATCTGATCTCTATATATATCTCTCTATGGCATGGTTTCTTCACTTGTTATGCGTTGCCTGATTATTTGATCGTATTTTCTATTTCGGTGTTCTTTATTTTCTTGACTCATCGGTTAATATAATTCACTGTTGTTGTTGGATTGATATTTCATTCGGGTATGCCTTGTTTTCTTGAATTATTGTTTTTTTCTATTTGGATGGTCAATTGGATATCTCATTTGGGTCTGCGTTATTTTCTTGAAATATCAATTATGATCATCAATACATATGTGTTCAGTAGTGATCTATTTAAGGTTTAAGGTCTGATTTTGTGATAATCATTGAAAATCCTTCCCAAATCTGTGTGTTATTCATCATCTGATGCTTGTTACTTGTTAAATCACATCTGAGGAGGCTTCTTAGTCCGATAGAGAATTGGGTTGCAGTTGGTGTTTTCCCATTTAACAAAACGAACCCATTTTATCTGAAAAATATAACATAATTATATGTATGCAATGCATCCAGTGTCTATATGTTATATGTGTGTGTTTTGTGAGCTATTAAAGTCTGATTTTCTGATAATCATTGAAAATCCTTTTGTTTGGGAAGGTGATTCTGTGTGTGTTATGCATCATTACTTGTTAGACCACATCTGAGGAGGCTTCTTAGTCCGATAGGGGTGCAGTTGTTGTTTTCCCATTTAGCAAAACAAACCCATTTTGTCTGAAAAATATAACATAATTATATATATGCAATATGTAATTATATGACCGCAACATATATGTATTCTTACAATTCATTCTATCATGGGTTGATGTGTGGTTTTAGCAATAGCCAAGTCACAGTTTTGCTCACAATCCTCTTTTATATTTTCACAAACTTTGCCTCTTCTTATGCTACTCCCATTTTAATGGGAATGCGACAATCAGAGAAATCTAAAGAGGGTTGGAGGACTGAAATAGTGAATTGAGGAGCGCATGGCATCCTAGTACCTGCATTTCTAGTTTACGATCATATTTGCATTTGATTTCAGCTTAAGACGTAACCTACTGACCTGTAGATTTTGACCCTGGGTTTGGGCTATTATTTTTCACCTGATTGCGTATGGATAGTGTGTTGTTCAGTGTATATCTATAAATATGAAAAGTAGGGAAGTCGGTTATTCTTCATTAAGCCACCGGGATATAATTCGTTATAGGATGCTACATCTGTTGATAATCAGCAGTACTTCACAATTTGTTGGTCTAAAATGGATATGATCATTCTGTACTTTCTGCTTTGTATAAACTGTTTGCAAAAGGCTAAAGTGCCAAAAATTAAGTTCTTAACTGCCTCCTTTTATTCACACTGCTGCTTTCCGATTGATGGTAACGGCGTCACATTTGTAGTAAGTTGTATATCGTTGTTAAAGACACTCGAATATCGATTATGATCATCAATATATCCAGTTTCTATATGTGTGTGCCTGTTCTTTTTTCAGAGTTTGTTTAGATTGAAGTCAAGGGTTGTTCTTTTTGCAAGCATTTGTCTTTGGTATGTTGAACTTTGGGTTTAATTCAGTGTTCTTGGGTACTTGTTTAATTAACGTAGTGTAGGTAAAAACCACTCTTTCATCAAATTTTCCCATTATTGTTCTAATTCAGCTTCATATTTAAGATTCATAGTGTGTAAATACTTGTTTTTGTAATTATATTTTGTTCTTTAATACCTTTTTAAATTTTGAATGACTTCACAGTTTGTGCATAATATAACTTAGACTATGCACCTGTTCTAATTGCTACTTGTTAGTGGTACTGTTTATTTCAGTTTGTTGAATCTGAGAATGAACTGAATTTTGCAAAATTTTGGAATGCAGAACAATCCAAATTAAAGACTGGGGACAGACAATGGTTTTTTTTCAGCCCTAGAGATAGAAAATACCCTAACGGAGCAAGATCAAATAGGGCAACGAGACATGGGTACTGGAAAACAACTGGAAAGGACCGTGCTGTTAGATGCAATTCTCGTTCCGTTGGGGTGAAGAAGACTCTGGTTTTCTACAAAGGTCGTGCACCTAGTGGTGAACGCACAGATTGGGTAATGCATGAATATACCATGGACGAAGAGGAGCTCAAGAAATGCCAATCTGCACAGGATTATTTTGCATTGTATAAAGTCTTCAAGAAGAGTGGGCCTGGTCCAAAAAACGGCGAAGAGTACGGTGCTCCCTTTAAGGAAGAGGATTGGGCTGATGATGAATGCTCAAATGGTGATCACAATCTCCAGGAAAATTCTGTGATGCAGGTCAATGATGTTGCTTCCACCTCTATGGCACCAGTCCGAGAGGATGAAACTGGTAACATCAGTGCTAATGGTCAAGTGAAGTCTGCTTTAAGGGATCTCGAGGAGTTCGTTAACCGAATTACGGATGAACCTTCTTTGGCCCAACTACTCGCTGTGGTGGATCCATTGGTGGATCCATCCTTTAGGGATGCCAATAGTCTTGGACAGAGCATAGTGACCCACCCAAACAGCCAGCAGTATGATTTGCAGTCAAGCTTTGACTTGACTCGGTCTGCCATCCCTAATGTACAAATACATGAGGCACTTGAGGTCACATCTGCTGTGAATGTTTGTGAACAGGGACCTCATGCAACTGAGGATGATTTCATTGAAGATTTAATTGAAATGGATGATCTTTTTGAAATGGATGATCTTGTTGGTCCCGTAGCTGCTGTTCAGGACATTGAGAACTTGCAGTTTTCTGAGTTCGATGGATTGGGTGACGTGGAGAAATTGAGTGAGGTTGATGACCTCTACCTGGACGCAGCCATGTTTCTTCATGACATAAACCAAGGGCCACAGTCATATTTTAATAATCTAGAGGATGGGATGGTAAATCCCCTGGATTTCCAGTTTGAGTCCTGTTCGAATGATGCAAATCACAGCATAATTACACCAGCAGCATCAAATCACGGTACTGTTCCTGAACCAGCTTCAGGTGAATGTTTCTACAGGTTTTAATTTTGATGGCTGTAATATGCTATTTGTTACTACTGTGGTTGTAGTTTACGAGTCCTTTATGAAGCTATGATGTTTTTTCTTTTCTTTTTTTCGAGTTATTGTTTTAAGAATCTGTTATCTGACTGCATAGAGCTCTTGACCAGATGGATGGTTTTTTGGTAGACCATGTCATCATCCAGATGGTGAAAGCCCTTTTGCCCCAGTGGGAGAAGGGAACTTTTGAACCAAGCTTCAAGAGCTCTTCTGCTAATAACTCTCAGGTGTAAATTATAGCTAATGTCAGAAAGTTTCTGGTGATGTTTAGGTGTGGTATGTGCTGCTGGTAATTCTGGAAATCTTCCTACTAGTACAAATCAAAATGAAAGTGGCAAAGAGGATGATGGTACGGTTATGTGGTTCTCTTCTGCTCTATGGTCATTTGTGGAGTTGATACCCGCCACTCCGGCTTTCGCATCAGAGAGTGCCTTGGTGAACAGGGCTTTTGAACGAATGTCTAGCTTTGGCAGGGTGAGGATCGACGCAGGGAACACAAATGTTGCTGCAGGTAACTCCACTGCAACTGTAATAAGATCAGGCAAATATAATTGTAATTTTTTGTGTTTTTCTGTTCTTAGAGTGGTGTGTGCTATATTGTGGATGATAGGATCTGTAAACTGTTTTTGGAAGATTCATTTCTTATTCAATTCTATTTGTTCATTTTATAATTTTCTTGTCTGTCGTCGATTATTTTTTTTATAAATTTATTATATTGTCTCAGTCCTTAATGAAAGGTGCTATATTGTTAATTAACTCTAGATATTGTGAAGTAATCTATTAATCTAGTTGGTAGAGCACTTAACTCACTGGGCGTATGTTTGTATTCAAAACTCCCTCCCTAATTTGCTAACCTAATACTTTGTCAATGGTTAATTAACTGTTCTTATAACAGTCATTTATTTTTGTTGTCTAGATTTAGCTATCTTTCTACTTTCAAACGTATAGCCATTTAGGGCTGTAAGTTAAGCGGGTTATCCCAGCCCAACCCAAAATTTTTTGGGTTGGGCTATCATTTTTAGAAGCTTGGGTTAGGATTGGGTTGCAAATTCTCAACCGTGGCCAAATTCGGGTTGGCCTTGGGTTTGAACTATTCTAACCCAATCGAAACCATCCAACCCGATTTTGAGTCCTTTTTATTTTTATGTTTTTTGGGCATAAAACTGTAATTAGCAGTTCTTTTGGCAACTCCCAAAAAAAACACCCACCACAACAAGCCTTTGCCAAAAAAAAATTATTTTGGTCAACTATTTTTGAAACTCAAATTGAAGATTTCAGATCTTTTTATTTTTCTTATTTGGGAGAGAAGAAAAACGGGCTGAATGTTTCTAGGGTTTAATGAGATTCTTTAGATGGAAGAATGGACGGTTAAGATTAAGATATAATTTTTTTTTTTTGAAAGGATCAATCGTGGTGAATATGTGTAATACAGGTAAGAGAGAGAGAGATTAAGCTGCCCAAATTCGGGTTCATGGGCAAAAGCTTATTTTGAATCTTTTCTTTAAATATATATTTTTTATTGTAGTTATGTTATCTTATTATGTTCTTATAAGATTTCAATGGTAAGTATTAAGTAATACACCGCCTTTTCAATACTAAAACATATTAGTTATACTTTGTCATTATGATAAAGAAGACGAATAAGATTTTAAAAAGAAAACCTTAAATGCTACATGTTTATGTTTGCAATGATAATTAGACTCAGTTCTAAACCATTTTATGAGATCTTCCTCCGAACGAAATTATTGCAAATAATAAAGGTCAAATCATAAGCAAGGCCGGTCCATTCCCAAAATTTCAAATGTAAGACCCAAATTTTCATTAAGATGAGACATTTGAAAAGTCTTACATTTAAAACACAACTTAATCACCAAAAAAAAAAAAAAGAAAAAAAAAAAAACCCTACTTTATTGCAAAAAATAAATATTTAACTTTATATCAAAGTAAATGTGATTGTCTTGCATTTTGGATTGTAAAATTATCAATTAAAGTGTTCCAATCAAATTTCTTCAACATATATTTATAGTCAATCCATTCAATCTCTTGTGACTTCGTCGACCGTAGTTAAGATTTGATTAACTTAACTATGAAAATATTTTCTCAAATTGGGATATTCAATAATACTCTATATGCAATCCAAACATTTTTATAAAATCTAATACTTCAATTGCCTTTTGTGTTTTTTTGGTATAGCTTATCTTAAGACTGGTAACTTTGAAAATAATTATGTCCCATTAATGTGAGAAATCATGTTTTAAAAGTTCTTCAGGTTTATTTCGAATAATGTGACAATTAATTGCACCCATAAATTAAAGTCTTAGTTGTTTGGACAGAATTTAACAGAGCCCGCACAAGCAGTCATATGAGGCGAAAGCTCTACGTACGGTTTTGAAGCCGAGCCTTTCCAGCAATGGGGCCTAAGGACCAATATGATGATTGGTTTAGGTAGGGCGGCCGGCCTACTACGGGCACCTGTAGGGAATAAAAAATTGAGAGTCGGAAACAAAATATTGTTACTGTACAAATTATTGTATTACATGTATAAATTGATATTATAAGTAAGTATGTTTATTGAATTTTTTTTTTTAAAACAAAACATGTAATCTCTATAAGGAAAAAATAAATAAATAAATAAATCTTTTAATCATCAATTAGCTCACAATGATAAAAATATGGTTTTTTTTTTTTTTTTTAATTATTTTTAACTGAGCAGAAGTACATGGATTATGAATTATATATATTTTTACAATTTTCTTGCCCGAGCTATTACACAAGTTTGGTCTAAGATTCTACAAAATAAATAAATAGTATCCAAATTTAGAAATAAATATATATATATATTTAGAAAACAAATCATGTACACTAAAGAATAGAATCATAAAATCATATTTTATTAATACACCAACTTTACTCACCCTTATTCAACAATCACCACCGTATCATATGAAGACAAACTCTCGTAAGGGAAACAAACCTAGTCCTAAAAAAGGACAAAAACAACCTGGGCTAAAATAGTTCACTACAACAAATCAATATAAAAATTATTTTTTTTCAAAATGTGACTTCAATTATTTAAAATATTTATTTCAATGATTATTACACTAACAAAAAATAATAATAATAAAAAAAATAAGGACTTAAAAAAATGAAGACTTCTATTGGTATTACGGTATTTTAAATTTTCTTTTTCTTCCCTATCGATGATAAATTAGATATAAATTTTAGTCCTACATCAAACAATGTCGCTCCTTACAAATCAAGAATGCAGGTGTGTAAAAAATAACGCGTTAACTTCAAGTACATTGAATGTAATCGAAAAGGAGGAAAATGTATACATATATAAAAGACAAATCTGTGGTATGGACCAATTGAAGAGAGTTAATGAGATTGGGGGAGACAATTCTTTTGTCCCATAAGGCATGTGGGGAGGGAAAGAGAGGCATGGTCTGTTCCTGTTTGTCTCTCTTTACGTTTGCAACAATGGCCCTACAGATATATGTAATGTTTGGAGTTCATCCTCTGTTTTCTCCCCTTAGACTCCATAACTGTCTTGATGCTTCCACTTTGCTTTGTTTTTTTCCCCCTTCTTGCTTTGTCATAGCTTTAGTCCATACTACACACACACATTTTTTGAGGTGCATGTGTACTATCTCACATCGTGCTTATATATGTCTAACTGTGTGGACATGTTTTGAAAATCGTGAGCGCGAAGAATATGCAAAACGGACGGTATTTACACAAGTTGGGACGGTCATTACACGTGTGATTCTAAATATCTCTATTTTGCACAGTTTTAAGATGGTTTAAAAGTTCACTTGGGGGAATAGAAAGATCCAAGTAGAAGTTAGAATTTGGTACGGGTAACATAATTGAATTGAAAGTAAGTTCACATGGATAGGCCTTTCTCTTCCATGATATGAGTATTGCATATTCAATCTTTTCTCCATATTTGTTCAAGAAACTGTCAGACAACATAAATTCAACCAAAAATTGGAAAGAGCTTTGGAAGTTCAGAAATTTTGGATAAAAAAAGGGTCAATGGGAGAAACTTCAAATTTTTCTCTAAAACCCTTGCTAAATAAGGAACAATAACATACAACAAGAACTTAGCATGAAACTGATAAGTAGTGTGGAGATACTGTACACTAAGGTCCAACTCTGCAGATCCAACTGTTGGGGGTATTTTAGTAAATTCGGCACTTGTTATGTTGCTATAATACAAGTGTATTTATTCATTCTAAACTCTTTACATCCGCTGCGGTTTTTGATCATCATAATAAAATCCTAGCAACTCTTAGACTTAGCCCTAATTTTGAATTAATCAAGTAAAATTTCCGTGTTCTTGTTACGTGTGCTTGATCTATTTTTCTGCATAATTTCGTAACACAAACAAATGAACCACTTAATGGCAAGGCCATTATCCAAAGAAATTTTGAAAATTTTCTCTAACACCCTGTTAAATAAGAAACGATGACATACAACAATAACTTGGCATGAAACACATGAACCACTCGATGTTTCTAAAATTGCACAACAAACCCTAGCACCATTATCCAAAGAAAACTTCAGTTTTTTCTCTAAAACTCTGCTAAACAAGAAACAATGAGACATAAAACAGTAACTTAGTTTGAAGCAAATGAACCACTTGATGTTTCTAAAACTGTACAACAAACCCCCAAGATCATTATCCAAAGCCAAGAATAGCACCACCCAAAGCTTTCCTCCTCTCATTTCCCACAATAACAACATTCTCCATCTTGGGAAACAAAAGAAATCAAAAGTAAAACAGAAGAAAAAGAATGTTTCAGCTTTGGTTTGAGGACTGTTTTATTAGAGGCTGAGAAGTTTTCCCCCATTCTTCATGTGGACTCTTCACTTCCGTCAGCAGTGCCACCACTTCATTCATGGTGGGACGTTCAGCCGGTGATGAATTCACGCAGAACATCGCGATCCCAAGTGTTTGAAGCATCTCTTGCACCATCTGATCCGGTAAGCCTCTGAGCTTCGAATCAAGTATTGTTACGGGTGGTTCAAAACTTCCCATCTTCTTTTTCACCCACTCAACTATGTGGAGACCATCACCATTCTGAGGCTCAACCGCGCTACGCCCACTCAGGATCTCCAGCAAAACCACTCCATAGCTGTAAACATCACTCTTTTCTGTAATGTTTACGGTGTATCCATACTCTGCAATAATAATATAAAGTTTTTAGACTATAAACAGAACCAAAGAAGCAAAATTTTCTATTAATTTGGGATGATCTTTTTTGAGACCAAATCCTGAAAATGGTGGCACTTTGCATACTATAAGTAGAAACTTGTGAAAAGAAATGCAGGTAAGAGAAACTGAGATACAAGGACACTTGCCTGGTGCAATATAGCCATAAGAACCGGCTACTCTGGACACGGCATGGTGGTAATTTGGAGAGTTCATCAACTTTGCCAGTCCGAAATCTGCCAAATAAACCTCAAACTTGGAATCTAGGAGTATGTTATTGCACTTCACATCTCTGTGAAGAATCGTCGGCACACAATCATGATGAAGATAAGCAAGACCCTGAGCTGACCCTACAGCAATCTTGTACCTGGTTTCCCAATCCAAGTTCCGGTTACTTTGCAAGAGCTGTTGGAGGTTCCCATTGGAAATGTAGTTGTAGAGAAGCAGCTTAATACTCTTGTTGGAACAGTAACCCAAGAGCTTCACAATGTTCCTGTGCCTAATGTGTCCAAGGATTTGAATTTCCGCAGCAAAAGAGTCCACTACTGGATCTTCGTCTTTCTTCGTTTTCCACAACTTCTTCACTGCAATCAACTCACCATTGGGCATTTCCGCCTTATATACAACCCCGGAACAGCCTTTTCCAATCACATTTTCATCTTTTAGGCAATCCAAGATGTTATCGATACTGAAATTGAGCTTTTGAAATGGAATGAAAGTCCATGGATAAGAAAAATCCTCCACCCTTGAAGAAGAGGCCGCGGTGCCTGAGGATTTCTCCACCACGTACTTATGATTCCGCCATACAAGGATCCACGAAGCAACAACTGCCACTGTCACAGAAGCTAGAATCACAGAGATTGCAGCTATAGTTTTGGCAGATTTCAATCCATTCCTTCGAGATAGTCGTGAAGAACAGCCAGTGCCATCGACGGATTCACAAAGGTTTGGATTCTCAAGGAATGCTTTCGATGAGAGTGTTCTGAAGAAGGGTGTCACGGGAATAGGACCTGAGAAGTTATTGTATGAGATATTCAAGGAGGTGAGACTAGTGAGAAAACCAAGAATTGTAATTCTTCCATAAAACATGTTGTGTGAGAGATCAAGCGATTGCAACTGTGTTAAACCAGACATAGTCTCCGGGATTTCTCCTGAAAACCCATTCGAGCTCAAGTCCAAACTAATTGTCAAACTTGTCAAATAACCAATTTCGGGTGGGATTGCACCAGAGAGGCTATTGAAGCTCAAATCAAGTAGAGTTAGCTTCTGCAAATTCCGGATAGATCTTGGGATTGATCCGGTAAGTAGATTATTGTTGAGGATGAGTTTGTTCAAGTAACTGAAATTACTAAAACTCCAAGGAATTTCACCGGTGAAGCTGTTCCTGCTGAGATCAAGCTGCTCTAAATTCACAAGCTCTGCTAGCTGAGCCGGTATCACACCAGTAATGTGGTTATTGTGCACGTCTAATAGCTCGAGAACTGTGATGTTAGCAATCTCAGGAGGCAAATAACCCGAGAAATGGTTCATGTATAAATCAAGAAACACAAGATTTTGCAATAGGCCAATCTCCTTAGGAATCTGACCTGAAAGCTGGTTTTCACCAAGCCTCAACCTCACCAAAGACTGGCAATTTGAGACACTTCGAGGCAATCCTCCTGACAAAGAATTCCCAAGTAAAAGCAGCTTACTCAACTTCTTTAGACCGAAAATCTCTTCTGGGATAGCCCCGGTAAGCTTGTTTTTCGAAAGGTCTAGAGCATAAAGTTGAGTGCAGTTCCCGAAGGATGATGGAATAGTTCCAGACACCGAATTACCCCACAAGAAGAAACTTTGCAAGGACTTCAAATCACCCACTTCCAATGGAATTGAACCTGATAACTGGTTCTTATCAAGCTGAAGAGTTGTAAGACTAGTGCAGTTACTCAACTGCCACGGAATTAGCCCCGTGAGCACGTTGTCAGACAAATGAAGCTCCTCCAGAAGCACTAGCTTCCCCATATCGCCTGGTATTTCACCAGTTAAATCATTGGCAGACGCGTCAAGGACAACCAATGATGAGCAATTGGAAAGCTCGGCGGGGATTGGTCCGGTGACCGAATTGCCCCAAATAAGCAAGCTAGTAAGCTTTTGCAAACTACCCAATTGAGGAGGGACTGAACCGGTGAGCTTGTTCATGTGCAAATACAAATTCCTAAGCTCTGAACACAACCCGAGTTCGGGTGGTATTGAACCAGATATGTCAGTGTCATACACTGCCAATGTCTGGAGATTGATCAAGTTCCCAAATGTAGCCGGTATGACACCGGAAAGCCCAGTGTCAGCCGCCCCAAAGATAGTGAGATTGGAGAGCAGTCCTAACTGGTGTGAAATTTCCCCCGTCAGGTACGGATTGCCTCCGATTCTGAACTGCTGGAGGGACACCAATGAGCCTAATTGCGACGGAATTGAGCCGTTAAGCACATTGTCTTGGAGGCAGAGGGCTTGTAACGAAGAAAGATTAGCGAGTTGTTGAGGGATTTGACCCGAAAATCGATTCGAATTCAAGAACAGGAATTGGAGTGAAGTGAGGTGGCCCAATTCAGGAGGAATGGGGCCTGAGAGGGAATTGGAAGAGAGGTCTAGAAGGCGAAGACCGGTGAGGGAACCGAAGGAAGGAGGGATTGAGCCAGAGATGTTGGTGGAGGAGAGATTGAGGAGTTGGAGAGAGGAGAGAGAAGAGAGTTCTGAGGGCAATGAAGAGAGGTTCAGAAAAATGTTTGGGAGAGAGAGAGAGATGACTCTGTCTTGTGGTGAGCATGTAATCCCCTGCCATGAACAGGGTGTTGAGCTTGAAGGGTTCCAAGAGGAGAGCACAGAGGATAGTGATTTTGAATTGGGCTCAGCCGCTGAGAGGAGAGAGAGAAGGGCTTTTCCGTCAGGAGAGAGAGAGGTCACTGGTGGTGCCATGTTTAGGATTAGCCACAAGAACAATGAGAAAAGCAAGGTCACAAAGGGGGTGTTTGGTTTTTTCCCCATTTGAGCCCCGAAAATTGATTGATAGTGAAAATTAAGAAATGGGTTTTAATGGGTTGGTGGCTGGCGAAATGGGAATGATGGTGGTGGTAGTGGTGGTGGTGGTGGTGGTGGGAAGTGTACTAGTCTAGGGAGACAAATTGCATGTGAGAGAGGATTTTGTGGTGGTGGGGTTGCTTAAAATTCACACTTTTGTGTGTGTTGAAAACCCATGCATGTGAACAAAAGTAAGATATGGACTACACTAAAAATCTTTTGTGGATATAGTGAAAGTGGTGTGTGAGAGTTAAGCTACCTTACCATTAATAAGCTCTCTCCTCCCTACTTCTTGACTCCACGGCAGCGCCGGCAGTGGTACTGGTGGTGGTGGCGGTGGTGGAGGTGGTGGAAGTGAAGATCATGACCAACTTAAAGCCAAGGTTTTGTAGTGCTTTGTCTATCAATGGTGGTGGCCATTATGGGTATTGTGTGGTGTTCATAGGTGGTTTTAGGTTATTAGAGGTAGCGGTTGTGGTGGCGGAGCTTCGAGCTGTTTTGGATTTTATGGTGTTACGGAAAACCAAAAAGTTTGATTCAAATTGAAAACTAAAACTTGGTAATAGTCCAATTACTATGGGATGACATCACGTGAAGCTTACACCAATATACCAAGTTGGTCACATTTTTGTTGCATTACTCTTTAACTCGAACCCCTTTAATCTTTGTCCTTAAACAGGATTATTATGAGGAATGATTCTCCAACTATACTTATAATAAATAATACACATGTTCAATTTTTATTGATATAGAGATAAATATATATAAGAAATTCTTAAACTGTAGAATCGAATCTAGGGATGTCAATTTGTACCGTCCCGCCGGAGCCCCGCCCCATATTTTCCCTTTAATAACGGATATGGGAACACTTTTTATACCGTTGGGGCGGGCATAAATACAAATTTTGTACACGTCGCAGGTCACGGGGCAGGTAAGGGTTCAGTATACATATCCTAGGGGCCCCGCCCCGCCCCGCTAAGCATATAACTATATATATTATTATTATTATTATTATTATTAATAACTTATTTTAGCAGTTTACCCAGCTACCCATCTCTTACAATCCTAATTTGGGATGTAAACTTGGTATTAAATTTGCTTTTGTTTTGTTTATGGTGGAAGTTGAACTTCTTGTGATTTGATTGTATTAAACTTTTATTTTTGTTTATTATATTATCTGAATTATGTTATGCGCATGTTATTTTTTAATTTTTGTTGGGATACATAATTTCATTTATGTTATGCCATTCTCAGGCTTTCCACATTTAAATACCAGGAGCTTAAGTTCCAAAAAGTGAGAGAAAAAAATTTGTTAGTAGAGCGGGTATGGGGACACAGTATTTCCCAATGAGACAGGGCTGGACATGAAAATCCAACCCGTCGCGGGTCTCAGGGCGGGTATGAACTTGACAAAAATTAAAAGGGGCGAAGCGGGATTTAGGGAAACCCGCTCCAAACCTGCCCCGTTGCCATCCCTAATCGAATCTATTATTTATGATTCGGTTCAGTTTCAAAAATTTTAACGAAACAGTTTGATTAGGTTTGGTTCGGTTTTGATTTTTTTTCTAGAGTTGTTAGAATTAGTTTGGTTTTTATTCATCCTACAAGACCCAGTCCAGATCAAACCTAGTAGCATTTAAAAAGTTTTAATGCGGAATCAATTAAAAGTGGTAAAAATTCAAAAAACCAAATTTTATAACAAAAAAGTGATTGATTTGTTTAAATCATATTAGAGTTTGAAATCATCTTTCAGGAATGAATGTTAAATTTTCTCTTATAAATAATCTATTTTACTTAAAAATAAATTATTTTTAGAGTTGTGATATGATGTTTGAAAGTCGAACATATCTAACTTTGGTGATATTCTTATTCGCATAAAACAGTCAGATACATTCGACTTTCAGACACTATATCATTATAAAACAGTCAGATGCGTTCGACTTTCAGACACTATATCATTATAAAACAGTCAGATGCGTTATCATTTTCTCTCTTTTTAGTTAATCTAGTATCGTAGCACTTCAGAGAACAATCCATTTAAATTATTTTTATACCCGAGCTTAGCTAGAAAACATTTTTGTAAGTGCATATTAGCAAATGCAAAAAAATTATTAGAGCCATTTTATGGTCCAATTCAATAAAGCTCATGTTTAAACTGAAAATTCAGGACCATCTAATAGTTTCTCGTACATGCAATGATTACATAACCTTAGATTTTTTCTTTTTCCCCATGAATACAAAACCTTCAATTAGATTTTCCAAGTCATTAAGATTGGAGAAGATAAAGAAACGTCTTTAATCGAGGCCAAATATGATCTTGACTTGCATTCTAATATGCTCTATTATATGAACTTTTTAAAAGTAATAAAGTACTCGTGTCTTGACTTGCATTCTAATATGCTCTATTATATGAACTTTTTAAAAGTAATAAAGTACTCGTGTCGGATACGTATCATTTGGATACGGGTATAGAATATGTGTCCGACACTTTTAGTTAGACATGTACTTAAAAAAACATATCAAATCATTCAATTATATTATATTATTATTTTAAAATGAGTTAAATGTATATATTGAATATTATATTAAATAATAATTAATAAATAAATATTTAGTCGTCTACGTGTGTCATCCTATTTGAAGATTGAACTAACATGTGCATTCTAAGATGAACTGAAATAATTTTGGAGGTGGTGAGTCCAAGGAGGAAGCTGATACAGCAGTGCATGGGGAAGAGGAGACTTGATGACACAGGAGTGGGTTAGCTTAGGAGATTGTGAAAGGTGAAAGAAGATTAGATTAAGCAACCCTACTCAATATCTTTTTCTTTCATATATTAAATGGTGTGTGTCAATGTGTGTATATAATATGCACACGAATATAGATACATAGATATGATACATGTTTACAACACAAACTAATGTATATTTTTCTTGGTAAAGTAACATAAATTATTGCTTGTGATATTAATATAGGGTTAGGGCTTAAGCAGGGCGTGCTTATTGAGGACATTTAATTGGAGCATCTTTTACTAAGGTAATAAAGTTAGCAGATAAATCCTTTTTTTTAACTGTGTGATCACTGTGTGTGGTAAAATTTGGTAAGATAGTTTTATCGAGGAAGAACTCGTGGGTTTGTTTTGGGAATAGGGCTACAACCAGTGGGGTTGTTTTGGGAATAGGGCTAAAGAAAAAAATGCACAGCCACGTGAGAGAGAGAGAGAGAGAGAGAGAGCGGGTGTAAGATGTAGTAGTAACGATTAGGGTTTTGTTAGGGTTTTAGGGTTTGACGGTGTACTCCATTTTTTGTTTTTATTTGGGTAAGTGCGTTCTCCTATTTAGCCACCCTAATTAATGTCCATGTATTTAACTTGTCCCAGCATTTGGAGAAAAACTTTGTTGTATCTGGACCGTTCGTTCGTACATGTATTACACACAGTTGAATATACCTATTGCACAGTTTAACGGGTACAATGAAGTTTTTTTCTTGCATTTGAGCATGACTATGGATTAAGGGCTCATAGTTTATCTTTCTCTTTTCTTTTTTCTAATTTTTACTATAAAGTTGAGATCTTTTGAATTTTAAAAAATACTACTAGCCCATGGAAATAAAATTCAACGGTCGGACCACTCTTTTTATCCAGCAGAGACTCGGGCATCTTTTATATGGGCGTTTATCGTGACACCAGATCAAGAATTGAGTCAGGTTTTGATACTCAGAATTACGGGCTTGACGTTTGTGCTCTAACTAAAAAACTTAACTTATTGGATAGTATTGCATACCCACTCATATATACCTATCTAACATTCTATTTAGATTTGATGCGAGACACCTTGGAATTATATTGTTCAAGTCTACTATGAAATTACGAATTTTTTAATTCTTTTTATTTTGGGAACCATGACAACATTTTCTAAATAATATTAACATTTATTTGGCGATATGAGATTATATTTACAACATTAAAAAGTAGAAAGTCGAGTCAATTACACTCAATTAACAAGTCAACATAAATAAACAAAGCTTCACAAGCTTAAAGTGATGAACTCCTCACAATGGGTTTTTAATGAAATGAAGAGACATGGTTGAAACTTGATGAATTCAGTATATGATACCTTGTGCGTGGCAAATATTAAATGGTGAACATTGAGATAATTTAGGTTTTGCATTTCTTAAGGTTGAAGAATCATCAATTCTTGCATTGATGTCACAGATCTTACTTAAGCTAGCGAAAGTCTGAAGATTTGCTGCTGTTTGAGGCACCATACTTTCATCAAGTGGAATTCAGTAAGACATGGTAACTTGTGTTATCGGATTTCGCCAGTTTTAGTATTGTAGTTCAGTAATATTTTCTCGACTTCTTTAAATAAAAGATATGAGAGTTTAAAGTTCTGATTAGAACAAAAAATAGCACATATGTTATTTGTCGAGTCCCATGGAAAGATTTAAATATATATATATATATATTTAAAGGCAACATTAACTCAGATGGTATGATTTCACTGTTCGTCATTTCCCATTCCTCTTCAAGAAAAGGTTGGGCTGTGGAGCGTCCTGTGTCCGCGTTTTTGGAAGTAAAAAAATACTATATCTTTACAACACAATATAATATCAGACTCTCAATTTCACAGGGTTTGACCTTACCTAGTCTTAGGGATTCAACATGATTCAATTATATATAAATATATATATATATACACACACACCCCTCTCTCTCTCTCTCTCTCTCTCTCTCTCTCTCAAGTTGCGTGACCTCTTACTCCACTAAGGAACATGGATAATGATGATTATAATTATAAGACTTCAAACAATTTATTTTAAGTCCACCTATCCTGCTTCCCTTCCCAAACACATCCTTATCCTTGAACAGAAGATTCTCCCCCCAGCTGCCAAACAGATCTCATGATTTGCTGGCTTAAACAATTTCCTGGAGCCCCAGACCCTACTTAGAATAGGGTGCTCAACTTTCTCACTTGGACTGCCTATATGATTTAAGAACTATACACTATACAAACAAACTGAACAAAGAGAGAGAGGCACACATGATTATGTAAAACACCAAATAAGATGATTTTATATGATATGTTTTATATAATACAAGTACCATATACAATATATAGGTCTAGGGTTGGTAAGGCCTCAACTCAACTTTCCACCAACAAAGTCGCAGACAAAGCCCATGTTTTGCGAGGCATATTTTGGGAATCCTTCTTTTGAGCCAAAAATATGAAAGACTTTAGTCACTGCAAGCACCACTATGTCCATATTACATTTTTTTCTTTTTTTTTTCTTTCAGGCTTTCTTGGCTATATTATCAAACACAGAGAACAAAATGATTGTGAAATCTAGTGTTATAATGTGCACTTGGGCACGCTCATACACGAGAAAGACTTCAGTGCACCAATCATTCTAATGTCAACGGTGTCAGTGAGTCATATCACTACGTGACAACATTTAACCAGTCGGTAATGCCATGACATCGATATTCCAGGAGCATTAAAGTATTTTTCTCATACCCGTACTGTTTTAACCTTGTGCACATATACCAGCCCCAGTTACACAACCATTTGCCTAAATAACAAACTCAATTCTACACACTAATTTTTTTACCCTAAACAAAGGCTCAAAAGGCTTCAAAATTGTAATATGGTAATGAGTTTTATCCCATTCCACTGGGAATATAAACATGAGCTAAAGGCATAATTAAATTGGCAAATATATATCAAAGAATACATGATTTCTACTAGTACACATTAAGCAGAACAATGGCACAAGGGAACATCACATTTAGGCTGTGGACACCAGATGCTATGATTCCGTTGTAAGTTCAAATGGCTCGTGATCAGAAATGAGATGATGCATTACATGCCACTATGACTTCGATTTTTTGATTAAATGGATGTGAATAACACCCACAAGTCGAGATGTTTCTTTCTTTCTGTGTGTGGCATCTGGGAGGGAGTACAGGAAACTGAAAATGGCACGAGTCCTCCCTTTTTCCAAGTTCACAGTCGTGAAGCAATCTCAATGGATCATTTTAGTTCATTATCCCTTTCAAATATGAACCATTTCCAATTCGAAAATAAATTTGCTTCATCGTCAAATGGTAGGGCATTGGTTGAAAGGGGTTCTACCTTACGAGTTGCTGAGATGGCTGGTAACTTTTGCCTGTACTTTTTCGCCATTGCTTCAGCCTCGGAGAATACTTTCTGCCATATAGGAAGTAAAATTTAACTGAAAATTCTGATATATGAGACTTGAAAAAGGAAGCTAGAAACATAAGGAGTGCACTAGAACAATATGACTACCTCTTTATTTGATACAAATAGGCCAGGCTCACTTTCAAGGTCAGCAATACTGCAAGCCACAAAATCAGAACAGGAAAATAAATACCAGTCACCATTCTGCCACTTGTGGCATGAGACTACATTTCCACACAGACGATTCAATAATGGGAGATTTAGTTTTAGAAAATTAAATTCTAGAGACCAATTATTGTTATTTTTGAACCTATCAAGGAGCAGCACCACATAAAGCGAAGAATTATGTTCGCTTGCTTGTTTGTTTTTCCTTCATATTTTTCTACAACGTGCTCTTTCTAATGAGGCTGCAGTACTACTGATTCAGTAAAGTAGCACAATCTTTTAAAATGAGCTTATACTCAAAGAATGATATCAGTGGATAATACATTAAAGAAAACACAAATAATTCATATACCAATACAGTTATACACATGAAACAAATTAAGTCAAATTTCTATTTATTACCCAGATGCAGATATGATCTATCAATTTTCCGGTTTACTAAAAAACAAAAGCTTATTACTTTTTCAACTTAAAAAATCATACATAAATATGATATTTTCCCAAGCCATTTACATACAGAAATTCCAACACATATGACATGGAAAATTTTGGAAGAAAGTAACACAAAGAAGTACAAATGTTTTGTGAGGGGAGAAGAGAATCAAAATGAGCTTGGAAATTAGATATATGCAAGTTGATGTGCTTACAAGGATGCTTTAATGGTAACACCCTAGTAGTCAATGATGATAAGACGTTGAGTAAGTGATTTCGATGCATCACCATATGCATATGCTGCACACAGGGCCCAGCAACCCATTCCTCCTTACCTGAAAGCTATTTTGTCTGGAAACATTGATTTCACAACCAGAACTTGAACTTTCTCATCAACTGCTAGCAGGTCACTGACTGAAGTAACTCGAGCTCGCGTGATTTTTGAGATATGCAGCAACCCACTGGAAAACATTATAGAAGTTTCAGACAAATATTCACCAGTGATAGACAATACGGGACCAAAGACAGGACAGTATTGCATGAAGAATATCTATGGACAATCTACAAATATATGCAAATATGAAAAGGCCAGGTACAGTTTGTTTAGGAAATTTTTCCAGGTCTTTTTTGTTTTGATATAGTGCAAATCTATCATCAGGATGCTCTCACCATGACAATTTTATCCTTCGATATTTTTAAGCAATAGTAGCAGATATGGGAAATTTTACTTGGGAGCCCATTATACAAGTATGAAGATGATATGGAGCCTAAGATACTCCAGAGAGTCTCGGATTTTTTCTTTTTAAGTGCAAATATATTTCCTTATGAGAATTACTCAAGTCAATGGCAAACAACTAAAAGTAATTCTTCTTGAGTTTTATAATAATATTTTACTGCACAAATTTAAAAAAAAAATAAATATATACATCATTATGTAAAGGTATCGTATCCTAAATATCTATCTCTTGAATAACTCCTACTATTAATACAGCAAAATATACAGAAATACAGAGTGTTTAATATGGATATAATAAGACATTAATTATTTTTTTTTATAAATAAACCCGGAAACATGTTAGATACACAGCTTTCCAGATAAATTATTCACAAAATTACATAAGTATAGCGAACTCCCTCAATTAATAAATTAAACATATTTTCATTAGAAACACAGATTTCCAGGACTGTATCTCACCTTCTATTTGTTTCGCCTATCCTTATTTGTGCACCATATGGAAAAATTTTCCAAACTGTTCCTTCAAGAAGTGTTCCCTCTTGAAGGTGTAACATTTCCTGTAACAATATAAAGCAAAGTCAGCAAGTTATTGCATTTATATGTATAATGGTGAAAAAGGAACTAGTAAATCATAAATCCTAAAGAACTAGCAACAAAAAGAGACTGGTCAATGGATAATGTAATCGAAGAACTGACCCAAGCTTCCTTCTCGCTAAGTATTAAGTCATTAGTAGCTTCATTTATTCTACTAATCTGCACATACAGTTGGCGGCCCACCTATCCCATCAAAAAACCAAAAATGAGAAAGAACATACAACCAATATAAGAAAGCCCACAAATCTACAGGCAAAGCCATATAACAACAAAGAAACAAATACCCAATGACAGCATGTGGTTTAGTGAAGTTATAATCTTTGACAGCATAATGGCAACACATGATTTGTGTAAACCAACCCAAATAGTTGGCGCAAGGCTTACTTGAGACTACATTAAAAGAAAGGCAATGCATCACCGAAGCAATGCCTTTAATGGTCCAACAAGGTCCTCTGTGTACCTTAATTAAGACCAAGACCCTAACAAAAGCTAGGTGGCTAACCAAGTGAGCCCAGTTGTGCTAATTATTCCAGTGCTTTGACGTATTTGGTATACTGCCCTATTCCTTTTATAAAATATATCTCATATTCAATTTCTATTCTTCTGTATCACAGAGTGATGATATTCTACGCAGAAAACATTGTTGACACGTGCGAATGAGAATGAGAAATGGATGAATAAGTGATTTATTTCCACCATTTCTTCTTTGAATGGTGCAAACAAACAGTATATAGTCCATTTACTAGATTACACACTGCTAAGTGCTAACAAAGTGAAGAACACAACTTCATCAGTTTCCACTGGAGTGGGGAACCTTTAGTTAGTTTCTCCAAGAAAAGTCTATAGCTCTTGGAACTAACAATAGGTCCATTACCCAGTGTTGGCCCACCAAATACTTGTTGCTGGAAGGTGTTGACTTGATATAGACATAAACCTCAACATTATTTGCATGAAATAGTTGCCCTCAAACTTAAACCTGCATTCTCACACTTATCAACTGAGCTTTTACACCATGGAAGGAAAACTAGCTAAGAAGAAAAGATTGAATTATCAGATTTACCAAATGCTCATCTTCTTTGTTCCTAATATAACAAAATCTAACATCTTAAACCTTTGTAACATGCACGACAAAGAATTTAGTTCACAATCCATGTATCACCTTGACCTGGAAACGCATGAAGGCATGTGTGCGTCCAAGGGGTCTGAAAATCAGTCCCTCAAATTATAGGACAACGTGACTTGACTAAAAAGGGTTAAAAAAATGGATATAATTTACTTGGACTCAGCACAAAAATTAAGAGGAATCTGTAAATTAGAGCTTGTTAGGGGCAGTATTATTAAAGGCTCAAGGTGCACCAAGGCGCTAGAGGTCCTTTGGAGCCTAGGCGCGAGGCGCACCGCAAGGTGTGCGCCTGAGTGAAGTGAGGCGCGCAATTGAAATTTTAAACTACCAAAAAAGCATTCATATCTCATAAGTCGTATCAATATTCTAAAAATTATTATCAAATATAAAAAAGTAAATCCATTAACCATATAAGCATTCAAGAACCATAAAACTGAGCACAAATTTGTTTTCTTGAAGGGCAAAACAGAATTTGTTTTTTTGAAAGGAAAAACAGAGCAAAAAAAAGAAATAAATCTATTAACAAAAAAAAAAAAAAAAAATGTTAACAAGAAAAGGGGGAAAAAAAAACAGAGCCAAAAAAAAAAGGAAAAAAAAAAAAAAAAAACGCAGAGACGAAAGAAGTAGATGAAGAGAGAGTGTTAAAGAAGAAAAAGGAGAAAAAACAGAGCCCAAAAAAAAAAAAAGGACAGAGAGAGGAGAACTAGACGAAGAGAGAGAAGTAAACAAAGATGAGAAGAGAGGAGTAGAGGAGAAGAGGAGAAGAAAGAGAAGAAAGAACTGACATGGCTTCTCGTTCGTCTCTGTATATAGGGCTTCGTCGTTGGTCTCACAGTCTCACTCTTTCCATGGTCGATTGACACTTTTGACTCTTGGGCTTTCTTATTTGTTTATTCTTTTGAACAAAAATTCCTTCTCCCGTACACTTAGGCTTTCATATTTGGTTATTAAGTTGCCAAAAGTGCCCTTTTTGGCTTAAGAAATAGAATAATCATTTAAAAAAAAAAAATAGTGAGGCGCGCCTGAAAAATAGGACAAGTGCAACTAAGGTGCACGCCTAGTAAACATCAGTGTGCCTGGGCTAGACCTGCGCCTCGCTCGTCTTTAACGACACTGGTTAGGGGGTGGGAGGGAGATAAGGTAAGTTCATCAAGGAAGAACTGAGATCAAGAATAAACTAATTGTTTGCCCAATAATATTTCCAACTCAACAAACAAGGCTAACAAATACTTTCACTAATCTAAAATCTAAGTACATCATGTAATTTTTGTTCTTTTAATTTCTTTTTATTTTCCTTTTTGTTGGGTAATGCATCCCTGCACTTGCTGACATTAACTATCATAGTTTCATTCTCTAAACAAAGCAACTGACAATTAGTCATTAGAATATTAATTTATATCAAATTATTTATTATTTCTTAATACAAAAAGAATGGACAGAAGGATGGACTTAGAATTTTGATCATCTCCGATCTCTCCTCCCTTGTATGGAAAAAGAACAAAAAATACAATTTGCCACATGTCTAACTGTCCCACCTACCTATTATGGAAAAAAAAAAAGAAAAAAAGAAAAAAAGAGGACATGTCACCTGCTCACTCGTAGGATATGTTAGCACATGTATCTAGTGAAAGAATAAGGAGCTGTTGATGCACAGGCTCCTTTTTCTCTATGTGTAAGGCTCGAGGTTAGAGAACAGCCATACAGGTGGGAACATGAAAGAATTGATCAAGCAAAGCATTTAGAACAAGCGAAGACAGGAAAATTTTGAACTCCTGCAAACGGCTAACTCAATCTGCTACAACTCCTCACAAGCATGATGCCAGAAAAACAGCTCTTCAGCGAAATATAGACCATCCCGCAATGGAAGTCAAGATTGAAGAACTCACTTGTTTCTCTAAAAAATTGTTTTCCCTTTTAGTAATCAAAAGATCCAAGATGCAATATAAACGTCCCACGATTTAAGAAAAACAGCTTTTAATTTCCATATCTATGTTATTAGATACATGTTAGTACAAATTACAAATAATTATTCTCATTCACTTGACACCATATTTATGCATTGCCCTGGCAGCACTTTATCTCAGGAATTCAAAGATGCCTCGACTTTACCTTAAACCACAAATATGCACATAAATCCCAGAGGCATTCTGCCATGAATTATTGACTCTGACCATACTTGCTCTGTGGTACCTATTACAATTTAAATGATGCAACCAAGTAGGTGCTAGATTGAGTTTAGATGGGCAGTGCACCACCCCGAACATATAGGGGCTTTTCTTAACTGTTAAATTTTTTTATGTATTAAGTTCTAGTTCTAGATTAGATAATCAGTTGGAACTTGGATTTTGCACATTTTATGTGCTCCGGCATTAAAGAGTTCTCATTGATCTGTATTGAAAGACTGAAGGCAGCATGTATCGTAACAGAACAAAGATAATCACCAAAAGATAGGGGCTGATATGATCAACACGTACCAAAACTGAAATGGTTTTGACTTACATTCTCTTTCAAATCAGTGAAGTTGTTAACTCTTTTCATCAACTCAGCTTTAGGAAGAAAAGCTCGTAAGCCCTGCAAAACCAAATTCCAAGAATGTATTCCATGGAGACATGAGCACACAACACAAAGAGAGAGAGACAGAGAGAGAGCCAAACCTCAATTCTTGTTAGGAGACCACCAGTATTCCACTCTGTAATTTTTACCTCAATAGGTTCATTGAGCTGCTTAATCTGCCAAAAATATAGCATTTTTCAACAACAAACTAGAAAAGAGTTGTCAACAAATATCATCTAACATCAGTACAAAGTAAAAAGGAGTTGACCAAGAACAACTGATGCAAATATTTTAGAAAAAACACTCCATGAATGCAGATTGATCTCAGAACCAATTGTGCGCAATAGCATAAGCCGCACATGAAAGCAAACATGTTCTGTTTTTCCTTTTTCAGCATTACCCACAGCCATTGGCATCTCGTGGTCTGCCATCTGCAATTACTGCCTGTTTACACCAAAATACAATTTTTTTGCCATGTGGCATGAACTGGGAGAATGCACATGTGTAATGGAAGGCAATGGAAAGACGATTGGTTATTCAACACAAAGGATCGGTTATGAGAAGAAGGTAATTGATTTATATATGCAAGCTTACTTTAAGGAAATGTGACAACAGAGGAGGACTAAAATGAAACAAGCAATCAGTTATTTGCAATAGATGGCGTTTCACCAAAACTTGATTTTCTCAAGTCTCACCACATGGCATTGTTTAAACCAAACCCAGTGATGATCAAAGCAGTTACATAATGGATTTCAATAAGTCAAGCATAATAAGGACACATGGCACAAAAGACTGACAATCGGAAAGGATATATGCAAGCATCTGCTTATGGGTTTGAAATGAGCAGTTGGAGGGTTCAATGATAAATAATCATTGAAGGAACTTGACAAAAGGTCCCTGACCAACGAGTTCTATTTCTTTTTTATTTCCTTTTCAGTAGTGTTAGCCTTAGATAAATTAGTCATAGTTATATTCTATTTCTTGTATCTTGTACAAGACCAGTATCCATGGAATAAATGTGAATACCACACAGTATTTTTCACATTCTGTCACTTCATTGTTGTTCCAAAATTTATTTTGCAAAAGTCCTCACTCTAGAGGCAATCCGAACCTACAGAGAAGGGTCATTCCTACTTCTCTCTACATTGCCTGATTCAAAATAAACAGATTAATAACCGTTTGGTCAATTGCATTTTGGGTAGGAATAGTTTGGCTAACCATTTAATTCTGCCACCCTCATGCAAAATTCAAGCCAAACACTGCCCAACAATCAAAATCTACTTTTATTGTTTAATAGAGTCGCGATTTATTTATTTAATTTTTTTTTTCATTCAGTTTTGTAATGCTAAAAGAAAATCAATGAAAGGCAAAGACATAGTTACTCACTTATTCAAGAATAATATTCACTTCATTGAAAATCGTTTACTTTACCCTTTTCCTTGGATTTTAGCTTCAATTGCAGTTACCTAAACCTGATGCCCAGCCACCAATACCCGGATATTTCCATCTATGCTTGCTGCCATGCCTCCACAACCTGCTGCACAACTACCAGTGTCCATGGAGCTTGTTGACTTGAAACATAATGCCTTACTGCCCAACACTGGAACCTGTGCCCCGAACCACCAAAATATGCTAAGCTTTCAAAGTATTGTGCAATTTTGGTATGAAACCAAAATCCCATCTTATAGTTCTCACACTCTTCTAGTGAAAGACATTAAAAATCATTTTGTGCCAGCAGATGTGACAAATATTATGTTTATTTTTCTGTAGCTCTACTTGTCAACCTGTAAGGTATTTTCAGATATCTTCTTAAGTGCACATATATTTAACTGCAAAAGGAGCCTAGGAAGTTTTATAGTTGACACAAAACTTGAGGAGGACTTGAGATTATGTTGAGAAAGAGGGACAAACCCTTTGATTATATAACAAGCTCAGTGGGTACCAGTGGTAAGACAGCTTTTTCAAGTGGTTGGCAGCACATGCCATAGGCGAGGCAGCAAGCGCAGATGGCAGGGCGGTGGATGGGAATGAACAAACAAGTGGCAGAGTGGAATTTGAACCAAACAAAAGAACAAAAAGATCACCACTAACTATCTGCAAAATAAGTGCACTTCGTGCAGAAGAACAAAAAGATCACCACAAATATCTGCAAATTAATTGAATTTCATGCATGGTGAGCAAGCCATAATATCTTTGCCTACTAGTCGTATAGCATAGGATAATATAAACGCTACAACAAACAAATCATGCTTGTTAGAACAACAAAACTGTCAGACAGATGTATTTGATCTTCTATCTTTATTGATTTCCAAAACTTCAATTTGTTTGCCACTGCAAAATGCAACTATCGAAGTCATTCTCTCCCAAGAATCAAATTGTTCCAGACACGCAGTAAGAAAATAATATTGTAGCCTTAAATATCTTAATTCAAATAACAATTGAAGTTACTATGCACATTGTATATCCAGACATAATTGTCTTAAATTATCACAAAATTAGTTTGGATGCAAAACAACAATTAATTCGCAACAAAACGAAAATACAAAGTCAAACACCAAGCTTACAGAATCAGCAAGAAACCATCACAAAATCAGCATGATGAATTGAACAAAAGTGAGAAAAGAACCTGCCTCACTCGATGCCAGGCAACCCGCCTGAAAAACCTTCTAGTCGAGAGCAGTGGCCTCCCGCTGAGCGTTCTTCCGAGAACCTCAGCAAACAGAACAGTGCCAGGCTCCACAACAGGCCTCCCCGGCTCCGGTTCCCCATTCACTGCATCATCATTCCTCACAATTCCCATCTTCCCACGAACCATAAACTCCTCAGCATCCCTCTCCATATCACACAACAAGTAATCTATCTCTTTTTCATACAAAGGCAACACTTCCTTGGTCAACATTGTACCCAAAAAATCTGCCCCAACATTCACATCAAGCTTGTTCTCATTCCCTGAAACAACAACACCCACAACGAAATCACCTGGTTTTGGCTCATAATACTCAACCAAAACCTTCTTAGTCTCTTCCCCATTTGAACACTCCTCATTAATAGTCTCTTCTGAATCACTCACTTGTCCTAACGAATCCCTAGGCTTGAAAAACTTTAAGAAAGGCCTCAATACCTCTTCCTCATCAGGTGTTTGAGGCTTTACATTAACTTCTGTGACAGACCCATTGTTCGTCGGCATTGGAGATGGCTTACCCATCAATTCAAGCCCTTCGTTCTCTTGAATTCCCTCATTTTCGGCCTTTTCGGGCAAATGGGTGCTCGTAAATTCATCTAAAACGTCGTTTGGAGAGCAAAAGGGGACATGGGTTCTTCTCCAAATTGAAGAATTTGAAGAAAGGGTTAGGGTTTTGGGATAACCAACTGGGTTTTTTGACAAGGGGCGTTTGGGGGAACCAATAAAAGATCCATAATTGATGGTGCTGTGAGCAGTAGTGAAGTTAGAGAGTGGTAGGGATGAGTTAAGGAGAGAGAAACAGTTACAGGGATAGAGAAGGATTGGCATATCTGCTTATCGTGCGCACTTCATTTGCTATGCGTTATGGATACTGAAAATCAGATCTTTATCAGTAAACCAGTACTATGATTGTTGATTCACAAGAGCTGCGTTTGTTAGCTTTATCTCTGGCTAACATTACAATGGCTCCAAAAACAACAATTTGTATGCAAAAAAATTCAAATTAAATTTGTTGTAAAAGCTTGGAATAAACTTTTATTGTAAAATATTATTTATTCAATAAAAATATCCAGAAGATTTGCTTGATCAATCCACAAATTAAATACTTAAAAACTTTTATATCTAAAATATTACTTTACAAGATAGACAACCTTTTTTAATTTTTTTTGCTTTAGGTTGATAATTAAATCTTTAACTTTTCAATTTAAAAGGTAAAAATAATATCACTAAAGCATAATATTTAGACGTTGTTTTATAAAAACTGAAAATTAAATGTTATTTGATTACTTAATTAAGCACATATTTAATTAAGTGTATTTGATATTGTAATTTGAATATCACCACTTGAAATGAGATAAAATTTTAATTGATTACTTATAACTAAATGCTGAATACTAAAAATTTAAAAAAATATTTATTTTTAATTAAAACTTAAAACTGCAGCACTTAATTAAAACTAAATATTTTTTGTGAATTTTTAGTATTCAAACTTCACAACTTAAAATTGCAGTTCTTAATTTTTAATTTTATCATACGGCACCTAATATTGAAATTTGTAAGGGTTGAAATTGTTAACTAGTAACCAAAAAATAAATAAATTTTTATATCTTTATTAATTTTTAATATTTAGTAATAAGTAATATGTCTGTCACTTAAAATTTCTCCCCAATTAAGTATTGCTTACCTTTTTTGGCGATTTTCAAAATAAGTTATCAAACGTCTTAATTGGATAAACGTTTAATCTAAATCCAAAGTACATTTAAATTGTCACGTCTAAAATGTTAAAAAATATCACTAAACTATAAGTTTGGTTTCAAATTAAGGTCTTGCTTGGATTACAACTCTCAAAAAGTTTTCAAGAACAATTCTTAGAAAATCAAAACAGAAAATAGTTTTCAGTTTTTTTGATTTGACAATTCGTTTAGTTGAAAACTACAAAATAGTTTTTAGATAACAAAAACTTATTAATTTGGTTGGTTGTATCTGTTAAAATTAGTTTTCTAAACTAAAAAAATAAAAAATATTGTAGACCACTCTTTTATTTATTTATTTTTATGATGTTAACTATTAATGCAATAAACTTTTTTTTTTTTCTCTTTAAGTCTACTGATGCAATATTTATTAATACTAAAACTGTTCTTGAATGTTGTATTAAGATGTGTGTATTATGCATGAATCAAGTCGGATAGAGAAAAATTAATAAGATGTATATATCAAAAGACCCATTCATTCATAAATTGCATTCATATTAAAATAATAATAAAAGAAATTGAATCCAATATCCTTATATTTAAATATATTTTTTATTTTTATTTTTCAGTAATGAAAATGTTATATTGAATCAAAGGATCAATAATTCAACATACACGAGAAAAGAAGAATACAAAAATATATATATATATATATCCATTTCCAGTAAGAATGAAAAATCAACATCGTACGGCCCAACACACCATTCAAAAATGGAATAGTGATGATTTGTTGTACAAACATTACAAACTCAGTTCACTCACTCAATAACACATTCCATATATTTCCGTTTATTAAATGAGATTTTAATTTTTTATTAGTTGGACCATTTTACTCATATTAAAAATGACAAATGTAAAGTGAGGGTGAGTGAAATTTAGCTCTAGTTGCATTCAAACTATTTGAATTAATTAGACATTACAAATTCTACCTATTTATAGTCATTCTCAATATCAATGAATAATATCACCACTCCATAATTCTATTATACTTTTAGATGTTTACAAGACTCTATACCATTCCATAATTTTATAGGAATTTTATACAATTTGTTCCAAAGACTCCACACCATCCAGAATAATCATGCAACCTCATACAATTTACATAAATATAGAAGACTCTAAACACTAGCACGCATGCCTGGCTTGGCATGACCTTCACTTAAATGTCAATGGGTTTTCTTAACTTAATCTGGTGGGCTTCTTCAACTTGGAAATTAAAGTAAAAAGATCCAATTTACAAATTTAAATCTCGTTGTTTACATGTTAAGTATTTCAAATTGATGACTTTGAGAAAATTTGTGATACACATATTATAAAGGATAATCAGGAAAAGCCGAAGAAGGGCCGTTTGGCTAAAGTATGAACAACCTCATTGCCATGTTTACGAACATAACTAAATTGGACTGAGGAAATGACTCGAATTCAACATAACTAAATTGGACTGAGGAGATGGCTCGAATTCAAATTAGAGTGATGGTTTATCCATAAAAAAATATTGCACACCACTCTTTTATTTATTTATTTTTATGATATTAACTACTAATGCAATAAACTCTTTTTCTTTTTTTTTTTTTCTTTTTTCTCCTAAGTTTACTAATGCAATATTTATTAATAATAAAACTGTTGGTGAATGTTGTATTAAGATGTGTGTATTATGCATGGACCAAGTGGGATAAAGAAAAATTAATAAGATGTGTGGTATCAAAAGACCCATTCATTCATAAATTGCATCCATACCAATAAATAAATAAATAAATATATATATATATATATATATATATATATATATATATAAAAGAATCCAATATATTAGTTGCACTCATCCATTTAACCCCTCCCACCTTAATTATATGATTACCGTTCTGCAATTTCTCCTTCCTTTAAACCTAAATAAAATAAATGTTTAGTTTTTTTTAATCTCTTGGTCCTCAATTTTTATTTACTCTCTATCCGTGTTTCTAGATTTACTAAAGTTACATTTCATATCTTCAATTTTTTTTTTTTTTTTTTTCTATTTATCTTAAACTCCTTTAACTCTAGAGCTTCCCTTGAACCTACAATTTATCATGGATTCCTTCTCTAGCTTTATTGATTGTTCTCAATATGGTCACACATCCATTATACATGTCAGCCCCTTGAGAGTTGTCCCAAACCAAGTCATAGGCCTGCATGAGGGGACAATGCCGTGGAGTTTCCCTTCAAACCTACGATTTAGCGCGTATTCCTTCTCTAACTTTATCAACTGTTCTAACCATGATCACACATCCATCATACATGTTGTCAACTTCCTGAAAGTCGTGTGGTCTACAATTATCTAAATGTGGTATGACTTGTGAGAGCATAACATATAGCTCATCAATTGTTTGAGATGGATTTGAAATTTAGGTTTTGTTTGCTTGTATATAATTAGGGGTTTGAAAATAAAATTTTTACCAATTTCATCAATTTTAAGGTTTTAATTTCATACAACCAAACCTCGCCCTTAAGGATTTTATTTTTAAGCCAAATACATTTTCAGGAAAGAAAAGAAAATTCAAATCTTAAAATGTCACCATTTTGCATAACAATATTGCTCATCTTCATTAAAGACATGTTTTAATTCACTAAATCAATCTCAATCTGTAAAAGTGCATCATAAACAGAATATCATCAATATAATTGTTTAAAAAAATTAGAATAAATTATTTTGAAAAATTTACCAAAAGCTATAATGGTATGGTTTTGAAATTTGAATTATTTATTTATTATTTCCTTGACTGGACTAATTGGTAATTTTTATCTTTAGTGTAGATATAAATTTTTCAGTAACTAGGGAATATAATGGAAAAGAAAAAAAATGATTTAAGAACACGTAGGAATATAACCTGGCACGTGATGAGGTTTGTATTGTTCATACAAAACGAAAGAGAGAGAAAGAGAAATGCAGTCTGAAAGTACAGCTACGGCTACTTCACAACTCCATTGAAGCGACTACATCGTCTAAACAACAAACAAACTAGGGTTTATATACACGTCGTTCCAAAATCAAGGCATAGGTGCGCGCAGGCATGCCATAGAGCTTCCTTTCAAACCTACAATGTAGCACGAGTTCCTTCTATAACCTTATCAATTGTTCTAACTACAATCACACGTCTATCATACATGTTGTCAACTCTTTGAGAGTTGCCTCAAGTCAGGGTATAGGTACGCGAAGGCAAGTCATACAGCTTCCCTTCGAAACTACAATGTAGCACATATTCTTTTTCTAACTATGGTCGCGCATCTATCATACATTTTGTCAGTCCCTTGAGAGTTGTCCCAAGTCTAGACATAGGTACGAGAAGGCATGTTATAGAGCTTCCTTTAAAACCTATAATAGAGCACAAATTCATTCTCTAACGTTGTTATAATTGTTCTAATCAAGGTCATACATCCATCGTCCATCGTACATGTTGTGTTGAGAGTTGTCCCGATGTCTATGCCTGTACTTGGGACAACTCCCGCGGGGCTAAGGGCATGTGGTATAGTGCTAGCGATTAAGGCTAGCAAAGCTTTGTTGGATTGCTAGCTACATCAACAATTGTGTTGATGTGACTAGCAACAATATATTGCTATCTTTCACGCACGATATGGGTTAATTGATATTTATTATTTTATTATTTTTTGTTGTACTTTTTTAATACATTTAATATTTTTTGAGTAAAAAAAATTAAAAACATATTTATTTTTTTGTTTGCTTGTATTTTTTAAAACGGCTACTTTTTCAACCACTTGAATTTTTTTTAATTATATATTTCTATCTTTTAGTCACGGTATGGATTAATTGATATCTATTATTTTATTATTTTTGCTTATATTTTTTAAAACGGCTACTTTTTCAACCACTTGAAATTTTTTTTATTATATATGAATAGAATACTTCTTTTAATACATTTAAATTAATATATTTTTTACAATAAAAATAAATTACATATAAAAAGAAATAGTAAAGAAAAAAACCAAAACAAAACAAAAAAACAAAAAAAAAAAAAAAGGAAAAAGAGCGGAGCAGTTGTGGGCTGTGGGCCAAAAAAAAAAAAGCCCTTCTGCAGTGTTTGGCTCACAATGTTATTATTAGTAGTTGCGATGTACTTTACTATCTTCCTCCTAGGCCCCCACAAATTGCTAGCATTATACCAATTCAAAGGCTAGCAATACTGACTCATTTGCCAGCAAAAAACCATCCATACCAGTTGCTCTAATGCATGTTTTAATAGCCATCCATACCGGTTGCTCTAATGCATGTTCTAATACCAATCTATAAGTAGCTATTGTAGGTTCTCTCTCTCTCTCTCTCTCTCTCTCTCTCTGTAATTCATTAATGCCATTACTCACCGCCATCACCAGGCTCTTATTTCCCATTACTTTTCCTTTTCACTTCAGAAAATTATAATACCGAGGAAGCTATTTATTTCCTTGTTTTAAGATAACCCATTTTATTCTTTATTTATCTTTCTATTCACTTTTTCTTTTTGAATTACATAATTACATTTTATATTATATCAGCTCAATTTCGATTTCATGAGAAATAATATCTTGGAGCGTCAACTACAGTAATGACGTTATCATCCACTCGCGCTATATAATTTTTTTTAATTATTATCTTATTGGGTTAAAATATTCTTTTTTAACTTTTTTTTTTTTGGTTTTCTAAAACCCTAGCTACCAATCTTTTCATAGATATTCTCTAAATCATTAAAGTGATTTAGAACTATTCCTCAATCACTCTCACCAAGATTTTCATAACGTGACACATTAAACGACTTTCACTTGAATGGCATTACATTCACCCCATCAAACCTACATACCTTGCTGTATTTCATTAATGGCTGCCATCACCAACCTCCTATTGCCTCCATTAATAGTAATGAATCCTTCTCTTGTTTTGAACTTTTGAAGATATAAGAAGAGGGGAAGGAAAATTTTAGAGGAATTATTATTATCCATGTCATCTTATTATTATAAAATAATTAATATCCATTTTATCCATGGTAGTGACACCATTGAAGAAAAAAAAAAAAACTCAAAATGTTATTGTCAGTGAGTTTTGTTATACAAAATTTTGACTGTATAATCTTTATATTGGATATCATGAAGTCAACCTCATAATAGAATTACTCAAGAATGATTTAATTATATACATTATAACTTCATAAAGGAATTGAGATAGGGCATTCAAACAAAGATAACAAAGAAAATAGGTAGTTTAAATGGAGATAAAGAGAAGCTCAAATCCAAATAAAAATAAGGATCGGTATATTTTCAAAATAAATTCCTTTAATGGAATGTCTTCTTTAAATACGTTCATAATAAAAGTCGCTTCCCCAAACATTACCTAAGTAATCTCCTCTCAAAACTCTCCCGGGATCATCAGAAATGTCTCTCAATATTACGATACCTTTGCATGATTCGTAATATCGATCACGGTGTAACGAATTCCGACAAAATTAACCTAAACAAAAATTAGTTGCAAAGATCAAACAAAAATAATAAATAAATAAATATTATTTTACTTTGACCAAATTAAAACCATTTTTCTTCAACTTTAATTACTATTTCTTAAATTTCTCTTTATTTAAGAGAGTATTCTCTGTACCGTAAGTTCCGTGAGCTTCTTTTTACAATTATTACATTGAATTACTTCGACAGTTGAGAGACTCAACTACTGACTTCCAAAAAAAAAAAAAACACTTTTAAGAGCACCATTAATGTAATTTCGCTCTAAACAATTAAACTTGATTGATACACCTGGCACCAGATCAGCATACTTTCAATGGGTACCTATGTATGGAATCATTCCACGGATTATCACCCTCGTGGCACGAATCACGAAGCGATCTCCAAACCAGACTACCAACTTTGAAACCGGTTCCAAATGCTATCATCCACACCCGATCACCTCTTTTCACCCTCCTTTTACATTCAAAATAAGCCAATTCATAGAACACGAGACTACTCGACGTGTTACCGAATCGGTGCAGACTCATCCGAGCCGGCTCAGTCAACTCGTCACCCAGTCGCAGAACTCGCCCCACCTGTTCAATCACAGCCTTCCCACCCGTGTGCACAACAAAGTGCTCAAACGCCGTCGTAAAGTCCGGCACCACCGGCTTCGACTCGCCCCGAGTCAATACGGAGACCATCACCGAGTACACAAAGTAAACGAGTTGACTCAGTGGGAGAACTCGTGGGGCGAGAATTTTGATGTGCTCACTCAAGTTGACACCCGCCACCCTGATCAAGTCCTTCGTGAGTGAAACTCCGGTATTACCCTTGTCGTCTTCCTCCTGAAAAGCAGCCCGGTAAGCCCTGTCGTCCGACCCGTGGTGAGTCCGGAGCGAGTGGACGAGTTCCATCTTGGCGAATCGGCGGCGACTGGGGTCGTTGGTGATGATCGCGGCGGCGCAGCCGACCCGGAAAATACAGTTGGTGACGAGCATGGAACGGTTGTCGCCGAAGTACCAGTTCAAGCTGATGCTCTCGGTGATGATCACGAGGGCGTATTGGACCTTCGTGGAGCTGCGGAGCACGTTAGCAGCCATGTCGATGGAGATCACACCAGAGCTACAACCCATACCACTCAGATTATAGGTTTTCACATCTGGCTTGAGCTTGTAACGGTTCACGATGAGAGAGGAGAGAGAAGGAGACGGGGAGAAGCTCCCGCACGTGACGATCACGTAATCGATCCGACCCGGGTCGATCTGGGTCTTCGAGAGGACAGAATCGACGGCGGAGAACATCCCCTCCTGGGCTTCCTGGACGGCGCATTTTAGCGTGGCGGTGTCCTGGTCATCCTGGAAGATGAAGGAGGGTGCGTAGGTTTCCTCCCCCAGGCCTGATTTGAAGTATATGTTACGCATGAAGTCCACGCTCTTTTGGGTGAAACGCGCACTCCGGCACACGAAATGCTCCGACAGTTGGAAGGTGCATTTGCGGCGGGGGTCTGGCTTGTAGCAGGCGTAGTTTAGCAGGAGGATTGGGTGTGGGCGGGTGTAGCGGTAGTAGAGGAGGGAGAGGAGAGCGCACAGGGCGCAGGATAGGGAGAAGCGGATGTGACTGTGGAGGAGGCGGCGGAGGTGGTTGAGGAGGTGAGTGGTGGGGGTGTAGGATAAGATGGTGTGGAGGAGGAGGGTGAAGGATAAGAACACTAGGAATGATATCTGAAAGAGTTGAATGTATGTTAGTTGCTTCATGTTTGCTTTGAGCACGTTTGTGAACTGGGTGATGGGTGCCTCAATATATATACAATTATATATGCATGTGTGTACGTTGTGTTATATACATACACATATATAGATTGATAGAGAGAGATTGCTTTGGTAGTTGACTGAGGATTTAGTTTGCATTGAAAATATACAGCTTTGCGTGAATCAGCGGGCCGGATGGCACATATAAATTGTGGGCGCAGAGTGGAATGACTTTGACTCCATTTTTCATGCGGTTTGGTCTCTCACAAGTCCACATCTAATGTCTTATATCTATTCTTATTACTTAATCATCTGTCATTTATTTTATTCATTTGAGAAAAAATTATAAAATTTTGCATGTAAAAATGGGTGGAACCTTATTTGGTTAAATTTCCTTTAAAATTTTTTTTTTTTGGGTAAGTTTCCTTTTTAATCTATATTGGTTTATGCGATAAGATGAAATTATAAAATCAAACTATTAATATATTATTGCAAATATTCCAACATCAGGGTTGTCTATCCAATTTTGTCACATCAAATTTAGTGTGTGTGTGTATATATATATATGCACATGAGATCAATTTTATGGATATTCCATACAATGTGCATAATCAAAATACATATGTGGCAAAATACTACAAAAGTATATTTCTCAACAAGAGCTATTGCTAATATTACGAAGAATGCAAATTATGATAGTTAGGTACTCTTAGATATAAACATTCTTTAATTGTCCCAACAATGAATGGAAATTATGATATTTAAAAGAGAAAGTGCTAATATTTGTGGGCCATTTCATAGTATTTTCTGGTGCTAGTGGAGAGAAAGACCGCATGTACCGACAGTGAATTATGAAGTGTTTTAAGTATTTCAATACCACAATTGTTTTTTAAAAAAATTATAATAAATTTTCTTGAGTATTGCCTCCCATAATGAAACTATGTTTCGCAGTCGCAATATTACATAAACGGTGTAATGGATTCGGACGAATATCTATGTAAAACGGTCGAATTATCGATCGATTTGTGAAAGTGTGTAACAGTATCGGACACTTGAAAAATGACTACGAACCCGCTGATACGACGAATCATGAATGAAATTACGACTGTTATATGTTTTTATATATGAAATAAAATGTGAGTATCAAAGTGTCTAATGAGCACAAATTCAAATGGTATGATCTCTCCTCCTTCTCAACGTTGAGTGTAAACAATGTATACCTGTGCAACAAAATTTATTCAAAGTCAAACTTTGTGGCATTTCTGCAGTTACAAGTGATGACAAACATTTTGCAAACATTTTCTTGTTTCGTGAGATATACATGATATACCATAACTCCATTAATAAAAAACCTAACACCCACCACGCTTGTTATCTATCCCTCCTCTTTTTCATTTGATGACAAGTCGAAAGTCAAAAACATTAATTTTATTGGTGATAAACTTCACTTCCAATTCTTTTTTTTTTTTCGGTTTGATTTGATTGAATCCATTCCACAAACGGGTGGATGGGTTGTTCATGGATAGCAGTTGCAAGCATTCATAGCTAACCACATTCTGTTAATTTCTTCAAACTCAAGTTGTTATTATTAGGAAATGAAATTAAAAGTGAGTTAATTACTATATATATATATATATATATATATATATATATATATGGTAGTAAGATGTGTAGGGTGCATATATAACAACTCAATGACTTTAAAGCTACATTTAAGACAAAATGCAAACATTTGGTTACCTAATAGCCAATATATAGTAAATGTTACATGCAAAGTGAGAGCAGTACAGGCTTGCTGGTTGACCTTTTCTTTCTTTTAATATGAAGAGTTGATTGAGCAATGAAAATTAGTTGGATCTTTATTTGCACATGATTATATACATTGTATATGATATGAGATATGTTAATATTGCAATCGAATCATGATACTTAAATCAAAAGTTAAATGGATTTGATTCTTTTACGTGGGTGGAGAATAACATCAGGCTAGTTTAGTAAGGTAGAATGAAAAAAAAAAAAAAAGTGAAATGGAATGGTTTTTTTTTTTCCATTCTTGTGTTTGGTACCAATTTTAAAGTTAGACTCATCATTCCCCACTATTCTTGGAGAATGGTCATTTCATCAAAATCATTCCACCTTTAAACAAGGGCTAGTTTGGTGTGGTGGAATGAATTGAAATGAAATGAGAATAGAGGTGGGAATGGAATGAGAATGAAATAGAGTGGGAATTATGATTCCTATTCTCTTGTTTGATTGCAAATATAAAATGGAATGTATAAAAGTAAAATAATAATTTCTATTTATTTGTTTGGTTGGACTAAAAATAAAAATGGATTAAATTTATAATGTTTTACCTTATTCATCATTTATATTGTTTTCTCCAAATTATCTTTATCATTAATATAAATAAAAAAAAATTAACCAAAAAATTAACATCAAATTTTTTCCAATCCAGTGGATAGAAATAGGTATGTAAGAATGAAATTGGGGCAATAGATAGAGAGAGAAAGTAGAGACTGGGCAAGTGAGGTGTTGGAGATTGGGGCGAGAAAAGGCGATGGAAAGAATGGTGATCCGATTTGGAAAGAATGGTGATCCGATTTACAAACTTCAGTGTGATCGGGTGAGGACGGATCTGATTTGGAAAGAATGGTTTCAGCAATTCTTTCACAAAATCAATGAAAAAGCTTATGTAAACAGATTTGGAAAGTATCACGAAAAAGCTTCGGATCTTCTTTTTTTTATTTTATTTATTTATTTATTTTTAACTTATTAAAAAACAAAAAAGCTTCAGATCTACTTTTGATTTTTTATTGTGTCTTGGTCCATCACTTTGAAGTTCAAGATCAGGCGGTTGGTTTGATGGAGGAGATGATAATGCCGGTGGTGGGTTTGATGGAGGAGATGATGACGCTGGCGGTTTGATGGAGGAGGTGATGATGCCGGCGGTGGGTTTGATAGAGGAGATGATGATGCCGGCCAGGGGCGGAGCCAGGAATTTGGTTTAGGGGGGGCATGTTCGCACTGACAAAATAATTTTTTTTTTCAAGCAAGCCGAAAGTATAATAGTGTAACAACAGTGCATTAGAATAAGTGAATAAAAAATGAATAAAAAAATAAAAAAGAAAAAGAACGGTTATTGCACATAAATTATGCATGAGTGCAAGAAAAAATAAATTTTTAAGAAGAAAATGAAATAAAAAGAAAAAAATATGAGAGAATTTTGAAGGAAAAAATAGATTTTAATTGTATTAAGAAAATGCAAAAGTTTTTGAAGATGACAAAAAGAAATTTGAAGAATAAGAAGGAAAAGGAATAAAGAATTAAAGACGTTTTTAGAAATAGATAATTTTATGGGGATAATTTATAAATTTTATGAGGGTGTTTTATAAATATTTACAAATTATACGCATAAAATAAAATAAAATTTAGTAGATTCATGGGCAAAGGGACTATTTTAATAATTTCAGGGGGGGCATTTTATCAATTTTTACAAATATATGTATAAAAAAATAATAATAAATAAATAAATAATAAAAAATTATAGTGGGGCAGCATGGGCGGGGGGGCAACTGCCCACCCTGGGCACATGCTGCCTCCGCCACTGATGCCGGCGGTGGGTTTGATAGAGGTGATGATGCCGGCAGTGGGTTTGATAGAGGTGATGATGCCGGCAGTGGGTTTGACAGAGCATGTGATGATGCCGGCTGTGGGTTTGATAGAGGTGATAATGCCGGTGGTGGGTTTGACAGAGAATGTGATGATGCCGACGGTTTGTTTGATGGAGGAGATGGTGATGTGTGGGTTTGTAATTTGTTAAATTTTATTTTTTAATATTTTTTTAGTTTGTATTTTTCTAAAGTTGGAATGGAATGGTCATTCCTTTTGTGAAAAGGTGGAATGATTTTGTTGGAATGACCATTCTCCAAGAATGGTGGAGAATGACAATTCCAAGTTTAAAATTGGACACCAAACACAAGAATGGAATAAAAACCATTCCATTCCACTTTCTTTACATTCCATTCCACCGCACCAAACTAGGTCATTTTGAATGTAATGGTTTTTACACAAGAAAGTGGAATGAAATGGTTTTTTTTTTTCCATTCTTGTGTTTGGTGTCAATTTTAAAGTTGAAATTATTATTCCCCACTATTCTTGAAGAATAGTCATTTCATCAAAATCATTCCACCTTTAAACAAAAGAAATGACCATTCCATTCCCACCCTATTCTCATTCCATTCCCATCTCCATTTTTATTTCATTCCACCACACCAAATTAATCCTTAGAATAGAAATGTTAAGACTTAATTAGATCTCAATATCATTATTATTATTATTATTACAATGTCATTAAATATGATAATGCCGTAGTAACATTATCTTATAAAGTTAGTCATGGTTCGATTCTCGAACTCACTATCAGTTCTAATATTGCTTACTCACCAACACGTGGGACTTTTATGGACAGCCTTTATAACCCAACTTCAACTTGGTAATTAATAGCCAACTTGGTAATTAATAGCCAACTTTGTAATCAGTAGCTGCTCTTGGCTTTAAAGACCTCCTTTTTGGCATTATTTTGTATATGTAAAATAATCTTAAATTTGATCGGACTCGGATTTGTCTGTTCAAACTTTACCATTAAACCAAACAAAGGGATTGAAAATGTCAAAGCAGTTGATGTGTTGAAATTGAAAATGAAAAAAATAAATTAATTTAAAGTTTGAATTAATTATTTTTGACATTCTCTACTCTATAAAGTTCTATTTGATTAGATGAAATTTAATAGTAGAAATTGAAAATAAAATAAAGTGAAGTAAATGAAAGAAAAATAAATGGTTGATAGTGTATTTGATTAGCAAGAACTTTTTGAAAAAAATTATAAAAAATTACCATTTTAATTATGGTTTGAATAGATGAAACTTAACCTAAAAGAAAAGGCATTAATATTGTAAATTCATACAACTTTCTTAAAATTATGAAAAATATTTCTAATCTTTTTCTTACTTATGAAAATGTGCTGTTCTCACTCTACACGTGTGAATGTGTGAATTAACGCTTTGAGAGCAAATCTTTTCTCAATGAACAAATTCAATTTTGTCAAATATCCCCAAATTTAATTTACGAATTCACAACGATTTCTCATCCATTGAATTAATGACAACTACACTCGATATTTATTAAGAATAAAAATTGTCAAAATGTACCTAATATTGAACAAAATGATGAGAAATATGCATAATTAAGAATAACAACGATTGAAAATTTTATTTATAGTACTATATTTAGTAATCAAATGTATTGTTTTAGAGTTCTTTAAAATACTCCTTTCATGTATGAAAATTTAAACAATATCACCTAAAGAATTTAGAATGAATATATAAATTTCTCAATTGCATTTATTAAAATTTTTAAAATATACTACAATTTTTGTATTTTTAATTGTTACTAATATTATGTATCACCTAACATACAAGTATAACACAAACACATTTACACATCTTTATGAAATTACAATTTTTTTGTTTATTCCACAAAGTTTATAATGACATTTAGAATATGCACAAATATTGAAGATATTTTATATATGCACACACATAATAGCATACAAGTGTATAAACGCTTTGCAGACACTCTCATTTTGATCAAATTTTAGATTTTGTCGGGTGGTATTATTCTAAACAATCCTTTAGAAGATCGGCCCTCAGGTGCTTGGGGTATGATAAAAAAAAATACCATGTTACAAATAATTTTTCTATAAAATAAAAAAAGACTTTCGCTTGGAAACATCAATATATTGTCACTTTGAGTTGTGTGAGAGTTTAAAAGGAGTTATGGGTACAATATGTAGTGCAGTCTGAGACTCTGATAGACCATAAGGTGAATTACTGCATGTAAGTTATTCACTTCTCTAGGTGAACCTGCATTTCTCCAAAAACAAGATAACTGTTTTTTTTTTTTTTTTTCCCTGTACGTGCATGCAGAGGGGATGGGAGAGGTATGGTGAAACTGGAAGATTCAGTAAATTTATGAATACACACACACACACACACATTGAGAGAGAGAGAGAGAGAGATGGCTAGGTTAGGGTATATGATTCACCACAGCGGGGCTCCAGCTTCTCACTTTTCCGGTTAAAAAAGAGATTATACCATTGGACTAAGTCACATAAAGTTATACCATTGGACTAAGTCACATAAAGTAAGAGAGAGTAAATTCGAGAGAGTGAGAACAAAAGTTACAAAATTAAGTCATAAATAATGAAAACATGAGCAAAAGCACGTGCTCAGATATAAGAGCAACAGCCATTGTGTGACTTAGCTATTGGACTAATGACATATTGGTCAACCCTAAGTTATTGAGAACACCTTTTAAAATCTTATTCAAATTTTCACGCTTTCAAAAAATGATGCTATTGCAAGGATGTTTTTATTGTGAACTTGCATGATGAATCATTGAATCAAAAGCGTATGTATCACACTTTTTAAACACATACATGCTTCAATTCAGTCTTGAGAGCTCGGAAAGATCATGCTTCAATTTTTTCTTTATAGGAGCTACATACTCTATAATATATAAATAAATAAAATCAATTACCCAAAAGAACATACTTTGTAATAAGGGCTAATGTTTTTGTACATACTAGGAGATTATGGGTACCGCTTAAATAAAAATCATGTTGTTTGAATCATATTTTGAATTTTGATTCTGAAAATGAAAAAAATAAATAAATAACTCAAAAGAAAAAAATGATATTTGATGAGATGGTAGTTCTTTTCTAGCTAAAAATTGGTGGCTCTTTATGTTTCCAGTTTCCTCCACATTAAAACATAAAATAAAACAAAACAAAACAAAATTGCACCAGCCGGGAATCGAACCCGGGTCTGTACCGTGGCAGGGTACTATTCTACCACTAGACCACTGGTGCTTGATGAAATTTATTTGCTAATTTTAAAATATTTAATGGAATCACAATCTCATCTTTGTCATTTCAAGGAAAGGAAGATATTAATAAAAGAAATATCAAACGATGAACCCCACCACACCACTGTTTGGCAAGGAAATGAATAATGTTTTTTTTTTTTTTTTTTTTTTTTTTGCTTTTTGTCGTTTTTCTATTGTCCAATACTAAACTCTACTATGACATGCAAACAAATGAGTTAATTTTATTTAATTTTTTACTTGCGTGTCAGTTAGTGAATGACCGGAACGGAACTATGTAATAATTTTATGCCAGGGCAACGCAGTAACACCTAAGGAAGTTTTTCATTTTATTTATTTTTTATTTTTTAAAATAATCATTGTCCTAAACTAAATGCAGTAAAGACATGTTCGAAAAATATTTTATTTGTTACCTAACCATCAAATTGAAATACTCTCAAACTTCACATTCTGAGTTTATTTATATATCCATTCTAAAATTGACCAGATCGAAAAACAAACCATCAGAATATACAACTCATTGTTCATAACAAGTATAGAAGATACAATTCACTTTTTGAATTTCAGTACAATCAAAATGGCTTGAAATGTGTATACATTGCTCATCAATTCGAATATAACATCTATTTTAATCAGCACCATTTACATCATTCAAATAAATATAGGAAAACTAAGTATGAGAATCAAAGCACTTCCATGTTTCACATTGTCACAATGGAGCTCCTGAGGTACCCAAGAGTTGGGGCTTTCTCAACCAGTACTGCTGAAACCTCTGCCTCGCGTAGTCAATGTAATCGAACTCAATATTGTTCACATATGCCTGCATACCAGTATACAATAATCCGTGTCAAAACTGTCACTGTAGATGTTTATTATACTTTAACAACGAACAAAATTGCAGAAATGAGTACCGATATTAATCCCCATAATCCCCAAAAAAAATGGTTTGCTAGAGTGTATCTCTCTACATCATCGACAAGCAGCTCTACTTCAGTGTCACTGATTCGATTGCCTACATAACAAAGATATTTCATATAAATTTTAGCGTGTGACAAATAATTCTTCTCGAGTCTACATTTCAAGGGTTGTTATCAATCAATTCATCAACTAATAATGTCAATAATACAATTTGTCTTATTATTTCAAGTCAATGTGGTCACATTATTGTGACAACAATCAATGTATAATTTTCGAAAAAAAAATCAATGTATACTTTGAGAATTGACTTTTCCACCTTAACTTTGTGCCATTTAAAAGTCACATTCGAAGGGCATTGGTCCAGCATGATCTACATTATGATTTACACTTCCTTTTCGCGTGTGAGAGTGTCTTTGTTTGGTAGAAACAAGTCTATCTAGTGTTGACTTTCGAAAACCCTAGTTCTTATCTGTCACACATTTCGAAACAAACACGAAACAAAATGGACTAACCTGCGGAGCTGAGATATATATGAACAAATCTTCGACGCTCCTCCAGACCTGTTGCCAAACACAATTACTCCGTAATTAGTTTCGAGTGTGCAGCCAAATGTGCCATACCTTGCGTTTTAGCGGAAGAGAAAGGGAGCAAATTAAGGCAATAAGATACCAAAAAAACAAACAAAAGTCCCAAAATTGCTTACTTGGGTATCTACTGTAGTCTAATAAATGAGGTGTCTCGGAATGATAATTTGCTACCATTTCGCAGAAGTGATTAGCAAGATCATAAGCAACAGGATTGTAATTAGCATACTCATAATCCTGCACAAATTTTCTTTCCGTTAATCTTCTCAAACTATTTTCTTTCCATAACAACAAACGAAAAGTGCCTCACAACAATGAGATGTCAAGAAAACCAATGGGGGAAGATTGTGCAGTAGAAGACTCTCGAAATTAGATGCAATAACACAATGGCTTTACAATAATTAACCTTAATAGAGTGAACTTACAATTAAAGTCATTGATCTTGTCTCTTCGTCGATCATTATATTACCGTATTGAAGGTCATTGTGACAGAATCCAATTTCTTGATCGTCCCGTGGCAAAACCTTTTCCATTTCGCGGATTTCCTCCTCTAATACATCCAAGCAAAATTCCTTAGCATGTTCACTGGAGCACAAGCTTTTTGCACGACCAAGCCAGCTTCTACAAAAGAACATAGGGAGTCATAAACTTATTCTCAGTTCTAAAATATTAAAAAATAAAAAATAAAAATTTGACATTTCATTAAGATCAACACCTCAGTTTGTCCCAGAGGACTACATTCTTTGGACCGGGCATATCAAGATGATGAAATTCCCTCAACTTAGCCGCTACAAGAGAAGATATTTTAAGGTCACGGAGATCACCAGCTGACAGTGTCTGATAATCCAAAATAAAACAGTACACAAAACTATTATCAGTACACAAGACTAGGTTAGATAAACATTACTATAATCTTCACCGAACCAAAAGAGTTCAATACTGCAAATCTAACAATTAGGTCTCTTTCACAATCCCTGAAGAGATGGTTCACTAATAGACCTAGGGATAAGTAATTCGTCTCGTTTACATCCGGATCATGTTTGGAATCCATATTATGCAAGAAGACGTTGCTTTTGCTAATTCGAATTGAAGGGTGGTATAAATTCGGTCTGTTTCTAGCATCATATCCATAGTAACTGCAATCATCATAGTTATACTAATCTTTAAACCATATGATGAAAAAGACACACATGGACATAGCAAATACAGAACATCAATTGAAGATTCAAGCTTTTTAGGCATCATTTTATCAAACTTTTTTGCACACCCTAGTATGAAAATGACACCACCTAACTTTTCACACACATAAAAGCACAAATTGAACTTATAAAGAGCAGCAAAAATATGACACCATATTTTGTTAATCAAACTTTTACATACCCTAGCATGAATGAACTCCTCGATTCGCCCCTTTGGGAACCGGCCAAGAAGCCGAGGCCCCTGTCCATGCATTGACAAGCACTCAAAGGTCCGAATTTCCTCATCCCGGTTAAAGAAAATCTCAACACCTTCGCCATAGATCCGAACCAACACAGTCCGAGCAACGGCTTCCATATTAGTAGATCTAGGCCAGCTTATCTGATAAACCTCATTAGTCATAGCACCCCTCAACTGCGCCACTTGCAATGCCTTTGCATCGAATTTGTCCCCCCAATTCGATGCCAACGACAACAATACTTTCATTAAATCCTCTGGAAGACTACCTTCCATGAACCCATTCGACATAACCCCCATTGAAGATCACTTCAAATATGCTTCACCTTTTTCAGGAAAAAATAACAAAAAAGACTTTAGTCTATGTATCATACTAAAAGTACTATATATCATCAAGAAATAGTATAATTTGGATCAACCTTAGCGTCTTTATACTTTCTACATATAGAGATATGTATAATGAACAATTGCATGATTTATGCAGTTGAAAGAGAAATTCAATTACAATTTTAGAAACCCAAAAGAAATAATGGAAAGAAATTGAAGAAAAAGTATAATTTGGATCTATCTTAGTTTCATTCTTTAACTTTCTATATATACTGATATACATATACTGATACACATATGTATGAATGAACACTTGCATGATTTATACAGTTGAAAGAGAAATTCAATTAGAATTCTAGAAATCCAAATGAATCAATAGAAAGAAATTGAAGAAAAAGCATAATTTGGATCTATATATACCTTAGTTTCTTTAACTTTCTACATATAATTTATACAGTTGAAAGAGAAGTTCAATTACCATTTTAGAAACCCAAAAGAATCAGCAGAAAAAAATTGAAGAAAAAGCATAATTTGAATGAACACTTGTATGATTTATACAGTTGAAAGAGAAGTTTAATTACTATTTAAAAAACCCAAAAGCATAAATGGAAAGAAATTGAAGAACTCACCAAAGAATGAACTGCTGAGACTGCCCAAAGAAAATTGGAGAGGTGATAACAATTGAGGACGTGGTAGTTTTTAAAGTAAAAGTCAGAAATGAAATCAAGTGATAGCTTTTGGGCGTTGAATTCAAAGGACGGTGTTTTGTAAGATATAGATGATGGTTTTATTATTTTATTACTGCAAGTCTATAACGTGTTATTGACCAAAAGCAGGTGTTTTTTCTACTTATGTTGATAAAGTAAGACATCTTCTAAGATCAGCTATAAAGTCCGTTTGTATGTATCATTGTTAGCAGTATCAGCGGATAAAAATATCGGTTCGTAACTGTTTTTTAAATATCCTATATTATTATACGTTTTTGTGAATGAGACTGTTAAATTCGTCTGAGTTCATTACACAGCAATTGTTACCGTCAGTGCAAGTGCAAAACATGGTATATATATTACAATATAAATACTGTTGTTATGAAATAATTGTTAGAGGAAAGAAGCGAGTGTAAGTCTCCAACGAACTCCTGAACACAAAAAATAGCTCAATTACTTAAATAACATGACACTTACACTATTATTAATATTTTTGGCACTCTACTAACTCATGTCTAATAAGAACTTTTAATAAGTGATGACTAAATATAAAATTTGTGTTTATATTAATGAGTCGACAATAATATGAATTTAATAATAACAAGATACTTTTATTATTTTCTCATTGGATATGATAGCAACAATGACCAATCGTATGAAAAGTTAACGGCCAAAACTACTAAGCTTCTAAAGCCTTTAAAAATCTAATTTTGAAAAGGACCAAACTTGTGATGAAGACTCGGTCGACAAGATGAATATATATATATATATATATATATATATATATTCTTTCCTTTTCACATACGTGTCTTGTATATTTAATTCGAATCTTTCCTTTTTCTCTAATAATTAATGGGATTCTTTTCGAACAAGATTCTACTAATCTTTTCCTAATTTTTTTAACAAAGTATGCTTTGAATAATTTAAAAGACAAAAACAAAGGAAGAGAATAAAAAATTTATAGAGTCCAAAAATTTTCATTTCTGTCTTTGTGAATTTGAAACTCAATCGAAAAAACAAGACCGGTTTATATATTATACAATTGATAAATTATTTCATTATCCCGGAAAGCTTAACTCTAATATAGGTGGAAAGAAAATAAGAATAATATAATAAATTTATTTTGATAGTTGAATAAAAGACAATGATATTAAAGATAATAGTATATATTTGAATTCAACGGACAATATAAACTTTTTTTTCCTTTTTTTTTTTTTTTTTTTTGGTTAATAATAAAAAAATAAAATAAAATCTTGTAAGATCAACTTGGAAAGTGTGTCTGTATTTATGCATTGTATATGATAACGATATTTGACCAAAGGGACTATAGTGGTATTAAAAGTAAACGGACGCAACTACGTACAAAGCTTCGAAAGTCTTTCAATGTCTAATTATTAAAAGCATAAAAATTGTGACTTTTTGCTTCCCTTTTCACATACGTATCAGTGTATATAATCCAAATATATAACTCTGTATCTTTCTATTGTTATTTTGGAGAATCTATGGGATTCTTTTAGAACCAGATTCTATGAATCTTTTGCTTATTTGTAACAAAGTATGCTTTAAATAATCTAAATGGCAAAAACAAAAGAAGAGAAAGAAAAAAAAAATAATAGTGTCAGAAATAAAATATAATTTTTTTTCGGAAATTAACGAATATAGTTGTAACTACATGTTTTACATATCAATAATTATATACTTGCTAATCCGGTCATCTAATTAGTTGAATGTTTCACAAAAGATGAGGTGATAGAGAGGTGTGGAGTTCGGTTGTAACAAAGGTTATTTCTTTCACATCAGATCTAAATGAAAAAATAATTGGGTATCAATGAGAAGGTATATAATATTATTCATCAGTTTAAATTTTTAGTAAATGGACAAACACTCACCGTTACAATTGGTATAAAAGCTAAACTCAATCATTAATTCAGTGTCACGTCAAGCGCCCGGCCTAAAAAGTATCAGAGTGAGCACCCCGAATAGGCAAAATGGACCAAATTGCAACAAGGACGGTGCGAATTTGAGTGGGAAAGAATGTAAAAAGGGTCAAGGGCGTTGCGAGTTTGGATGTGGGAGAATATAATAAGGGTCATTTGTCCCACATCGAATCCGAATGAAAAAGTAATTAAATATAAATAAATGGATATATAACATTACTCAATATATTGAACTTTTAAATAAAAATGGATAAGAGCTTACCTGCTACACCGGTTTACTTGCCGAATAAATAAATCATTATATAAACATGTTTTAAAACTTTTTTATTTTACTTTAAACGAAATATAATGTTTTAAAGGTTTTGATTTGGCACGTTTTTCTCTCTCTCTTTAAGAAGACTAGTTTTAAAGGTTTTGATTTGGCACGTTTTTCTCTCTCTCTTTAAGAAGACTATATTAACTGATCGCATTATTTAATTAAGAATATCAAAATTATATAAAATCATATTTGATATAAGAAATGGGAGATCTGCAAAAACAAATATGCTCCTTTTTGTGTGAAATTTTGTTTGCATACCTGCGGTTCATGATTGGACATAACTTAACAGAAAAAAGAAAAAAAAAAAAAAAAAGTACAGTACCTAAAGACAAATCCAAAAATTGTCAATGGAGGGTTAATATTAAAAAACGAAAAATTAGGAATCGAAAGATTAAAGAATTAGAAAATTTTGAAGGAAATAGGGCTAGACTTTAGAGGGAGAGAAGGAGTGAGCTCTCTAATTTGTGCAAAGATTAGGAATTCAGGAGTTCTCTATACTTTGACTTAGGCCCCATTTGGATTGACTTTTTAAACGTTGCTTTTGATTTTTTGGACTAAAAAGCTATTTTGAGCGGTGTTTGGTAAATTTTTTAAAAGAGCTTTGGGTCCTTGGAAGACCGTTTTAAAGAAGCTGGGACCCCAGCTTTTTCAAAACGCTCTTTTGAAACAACACGGGAAGAGTTTTGATATTTTAATGAAACTTTTTAAATGACAAGCGTACCATTTTTATTACCTAACAAAAAAATATAATTTTAAACGTATCCCTATAAAAGTCCCTTTATTTTTCTTTCCAAACCAAACCCTAGTTTACAGATCTTGCCTCTGCAATCTCGCATCTCCTCTTTCAAAAAGAAAAAAAAAAAAATATATCATTACATATTCCCTTTATACTCAAAAGACTGATCTGATAGAGCATTCAACGATTCATTATCATCCATCATATACTTTTTTTCTTCAATTTTATTTTGTCTCAATTTTGCTTATGAAGCTATGGGTGTATATACAGGTAATATATGTGAATATATATAATATGTGTATATATATTATATGATTTACTTAATGATGGTTATGAAAAAAATCTCCAGGCTAAGGCATAATAAAAGATGGATGATCACTGCCAACAAAATATAGAAAATAAAATTCCTTCTTTAATTTTTATTTTTTTCACCTCAAAATTGAATTGGGAAAATGTGAACTTATATGGAAAGCCTTTTTTTGGGGGGGCAAAATTGAATTGGGAAAATGTGAACTTATATGGAAAGCCTTTTTTTTGGGGGGGGGGGGGGGGGGGGCGGGGGGTGTAATTTCTTTAGAGTACAATTGATTTTGCTATTTAGGTCATTTTATGGGCATCAACATGTGAATAAAATAACTTGGTAAAAATAGTTTACATGGTAAAAAATAACTTAATTTTGTTATTTAGACCATTGTTTTGGACTTGTTTCATTGGTTTGCATGGTAAAAATGCTCATTTGATTAATTTTTTAATGGCATATTGAAACACCGTTATTAATATTTTTAAAATTTTGCAATCTTTATTATTATTATTATTATATATGGCTTGTTACAGATAAATTTGATCAAATTGAATGAAGAGCAAAATAGTTATGTTAGTAGAAGAAGAGCTTTAGCAAACTTTTTGCCAAACAAATAAAAAAAACTCTTACAGCATTAAAAACTCTTAAAGTGAATCAAGTTCCCAAATATAAGTGTGGCTTCTACTTCTCTTTTTCTTTGGTGTAAAAGTAAAAGTAAAAGTTATGCCAAACGGGCCCTTAGTGATTGTTTATGGCTTGTTTGGCTTGGGCTTATCTGGTTGGACCTTTGTTTTAAAATTGTGGCTTAGATATTGGGCTTGTTTGGCTGGGTTAAAATGGAGGGAGGCTAATACTACTACTATTTTTTTTTTTTTCTTTTTTTAAACATTGGGCTAAATATACCTATACTAATTATTTTTTTTTTGGGAGGGGCCCACCCAAGCCCCCCTGGGTCCACCACTGACAGTACCAATCCATTCGTCAAGGGTTTTTTTGATACATGATTTGTTTTTGCGTTTTTATTTTAACTCCGAAATAAAATAAGTGTTTTGTATAATAATAGGAAGTATCTTTGGTAAGATTCTTTTGTTACAATATTTTTTGAATTAAAAATATAAAAAATATGAAAAAAATATATATATGTTGCAAGTTTAAAAAATATAATTATTAGTTTAAAATGTCATTTAAAATTTTTTTTAAAAAAATTACTATTCATTGTTACAGTGTTGAAACATATAAAAACATTAAATTGATGTTTCGATTTTTTTACCACTATTCATAAAACGTTTCGACACTATACAAAATAAAATATTTTCTACCAAACGTATTTTTTTCACTATTTACTGATAAAGCACCCAACAAAAATAAAAACAACAAAAACAAAATGCATACCAAATAGGACTTGATTCACTTTAACTGTTTATTTTTTTATTATTATTATTTTTTTTTACAAGAAAAGAGGAGATGCATCTCTAATTTTAATTTATTTATTGAAAAAGATTTTCTTTATTGCCTACTCATGATTGCATTTCTAGTTTCTAAATTTTGTAAATAATATAGAAATAATGCAATATAAAATGTTTGTGAATAGGGCCAATAATTAGAATACTATTTGGTTAAATGTTCATGTGAACAGGGGTTAAAAAATAAAAAATAAAAAAATAAATAAGTTGTTTATATAGATTTGATTTAGGCTCCATTTATTTGGATGTAAAATATTCTTCAGAAAATATATATATATATATTTTTTTGGTGTTTGTTTGTCGTAAAATATTTACAAAGAAAAAAAAATTAAAATTTAACAAAAATAATTTATCCATCAATTTTTAGTAAGTTATTTTACATACCCCA